GGAACAGAGCCCCACCCTCCCTCATCACCGTGTGTGACTCCCCCGTCACTATTGTGACTCCTTCCGTTTCCTGGGCTCCATCATCACCCAGGACCTCAAGTGGGAGCTGAACATCAGCTCCATCACCAAGAAGGCTCAGCAGAGGTTGTTCTTCCTGAGGCAGCTGAAGAAACTCAACCTGCCAAAGACGATGATGGTCCACTTCTACACGGCCATCATGGAGTCCATCCTCTGCTCCTCCATCACCGTCTGGTACGCTGCAGCCACAGCCAAGGACAAGGACAGGCTGCAGCGTGTCCTCCGCTCTGCAGAGAGGGTGATTGGCTGCAATCTGCCGTCCCTGCAGGACTTGTTCGCTTCCAGGTCTCTGAAGCAGCTAAAAAGATGGTAGCCGACCCCTCTCACCCCGGACAAAACCTGTTTGTGTCCCTTCCATCTGGCAGGAGGCGGACTAAGACCTCCCGCCACACCAACAGTTTCGGGCTTTGCAGTTTGGATCTTTACTGACACCCCCCCCCCGTCCCAGTCTTTTTACAAAACAAAGCACTGTTTTCCCGCCCAAGTGTGTATTGCCCCCGTTTTAGGGAATAGTTTGGAGTACACGGATTTAGAAGTTCTGGTCGCCATGACAACCAAAGTTGTGTTGTTGTAGTGAAAGTGTGTATTGCCCCCGTTTTAGGGAATAGTTTGGAGTACACGGATGATACCGGTAGAAGTTCTGGTCGCCAGGACGACCAAAGTTGTGTGACTGAAAATCACATCAGCGGCGCTGAGTTCCCAGCAGCACGCGGCAGGCCTCCTGAGGCGAGGCAGTTGTTTACATGTTTACATACATGTAGATGTTGTCAAAGACCTTTAATTAGATCCATGGAGGGTGAAGGAATCTTATAACAAAAAGGCTCCACTGAGCCGACCGCTTCACCTTCTGCATTGTGAAGGTCCACACGCACTAAGTGAAGGTAGAGTCAACTGAACAATCAAAGTGGGGGATGTTTTTCTTGTGCTTCCTCTGTCTGGCTGATCTTTGAAAGCTTTGATGGATGCTCATCTAAATGTAACATATGTAACTCTTGATGGACATTTGGATCTAAACACATACAAATACATTTATTTTGTGATGATGTTGACAATGTATATTCTGATAATCTGCACTAATTCTACTATTGTTTACCTCATCGTGACTCACAACAACCTCCATCAACCTATGTACATTTTCATCGCAGCTTTGTTAGGCAACTCTGTTGTGTTCAGCACTGCTATCTACCCCAAGCTTCTGATGGACTTTCTATCTGAGGAACAGGTCATATCGTACCCGGCCTGTCTCTTCCAGTGTTTTCTTTACTACTCTCTAGATGGTTCCGAGTTCTTACTGTTATCGGCCATGGCTTATGACAGATATGTGTCTATATGTAAACCTCTGCAATATCATACCATCATGAAGAAAACCACCGTGCGTGTTCTCCTGGCTGCAGCTTGGTGTTTCCCTGCTGCTCAGATTGCCGTGCCAGTCACTCTTAGTGCGAATACCAAACTCTGCACGTTTACACTAAGAGGAATATTTTGCAACAATTCCATTTACAAGCTTCACTGTGTGAGCTCCCGAGTGCTTTCTCTGTACGGTGTGATCGTTTTATGTAACGTTAATCTTTTTCCTGTGCTTTTCATAGTTTTTACATACACAAAGATATTTGTTATAACCTACAGAAGTTGTGGGGAAGTCAGGATGAAAGTGGCACAGACCTGTTTACCTCACCTGCTAGTTTTGATCAACTTTTGCAGTTTGGTTACTTATGACGTCATCGCAGTTAAACTAGAATCTGAGATTCCAAAAGCTATAAGATTCATCATGACTTTACAAGTGATCTTGTATCATCCTCTCCTTAATCCAATTATATACGGACTGAAAATGACAGAAATATCCAAACACATCAGGAGGTTATTTCATCAAGACAAACACAACTAAGATTTCACCAAAGATAACGTATTTAATCAGAATGCAATAAAATGTCTTGTCATCTTCTTCAATGTAATGAATCATTTTCTCCAGTGATTTAAACATGTTTGATATAATATGTTTTTTATCAAGTTTCATGCAAAATGTTACATTATGAATATAATACTACGTAATCGTTGTATTATCAGTGAGTTTTGTGTGTTGAGGAGATGTATACTTGTGTCTTAAAGATCACTTTGAAGCCAACAGTAAACCATCAGTCGGAGAGAATCAGTGTTCTTTCACATTTTGTTACATTGTTATGAAGGAAAATGTACATGTTGGTCTCATCTCTAAATGGTCCCCGATGTCCCCTTCGTGTTAAAGTCACAGCAACAAACAAATGCTTTGGCTCGCAAATGTGGATCAGATTGACCCTCTGTGATGTGGAGCAATTCATTCATGGGTTAGATATTGTTTGACGTGGTCCCACCAGTGGCTGCACAATAATCTACTGATCAATTCATGAATTCATGTTTCAAGATATGAAGCAATGTGCCATAAAATGCAGATATGAAGACTGCTAACTAGTAAATATTTATGTAAACAACGTGTGACTTAAAATACTTGAAATTGTCTTGGCAAGGGTTTGACTTCTGAGGAAATGGATGCAACACATGTATCACGCCGTCCCCATGGCGCTGCACTGGGACACTGAACCATCTGATTCCTGCATGAAGTAGAAATGAAAACTCTGTAAACCTGTTGTCAGGAAATCAAAGCAGTGGACCCGTGAGGTAAAGAGGGCCTCCAGGCGTCTGGACTCTACTGACTGGGCTATTTTCAGGACTGCTACAAGTAGCCTGGAGAAGGCCTGTATCTGTATGTATGCAATATATTGACTTATTGCACAATATATAAAAATAAGTGCGATCATTTTCGGTGGTGCGATATTCATTTTACTGCTTTACAGTACACAGCTGTCAACTTTTCAAAAAACCTGCAGTGACATTTTGTCGGGGGTGACCACGCGGCCAATGGAGGGGGGGTGATGATACGGGACGATACGGTCAACGGGGAGGTTGAAGAGGAACCAACGCAGCTTTTTTTCGTGTGGTGGGAGTGCGTGACTAAAGACCCCAATGAGTGACTGTCACGCTCAATGCGTGACACTAGAGAGCCCTGATTTTACATATAAATGAATGTCACCAACATGTTGATTCCCACTCGTCTGCTTCCGTTGTCGGGGGCGGGGCTTAGGCAGCGCCTCCGCGCCCGCGCGCGCAGAGCTGAACCGACAGGCGAAGGGAATGCGTGAACTCACCGTGTTATGAAGTGATATTTTTCGTGACATCTACAGACAATTAGGATAAACTGTCACACTCACCTGCCAGCTCGATCTTCCACACCTGCCCCGCATCCACAATCAGTCACTCTCCTCCCTTCCACACCTGCTTCGCATTCACAATCAGCCCCGCTACATAAGCACTGCACACCCAGCCTGTCATTGCCAGATTGTTCTTCGCGTCATGCAAGTCTCTCCAGCACTCTACCTCGGACTGATCTCCCGGTTTCGACCCTGCCTGTTCCCGACCCGTTCGCCTGTCTCCGCCCCGGTGAGCACCTCGGCCTTCTGTCCCCGACCACTGGCCTGAGCGCCTCGGGTTTCTGTTGCCTGCTCCTTGGACTGCCCGGCGCTTCTGCCCCCGTGCTCCGGATCCCCGACCGGCCCAGCGATCGCACCAGCTGTCTCCCGGCATCTCCTCCCCGATCCTGAGGACCGAACTCTGCCTCTCATTGTGCCCGAACGCCTGCTGTGAGGCCGTGTTCAATAAAAGCGTTAACCAAACACTCCGTGCCGTTGTGCTGCATTTGGCTCCGCCACACGCCCGTGTCATAAACACGTCCAAATGCACTTTGTTACGAAGCTGCAATCTTCAGCTCCGCTGTGGGAACATTTGGGCTTCAAGCCGAATGAGAGAAGAGGGCCGATGACGTGAACGAGCCGGTACGCCGACTTGTTAAAAACACTGGCAACGGAAACAGGCAACACAACTAAGCTAAAGTCTCCCTGTCACGGTATAGGTTCTTCTCACGGTGTAGGTTCTTCTCACGGTGTAGGTTCTTGTCACGGTGTAGGTTCTTGGGGGGTACAGAGTCAGCAAGACACAGCAGGTTCGGTTGAAAATATTATTTTTATTTTTCTGTTTGACTGCAAAATCAGCTCCGTCTCCTCGCTCGCTCCGTCTCTCTCTCCCCCTGCAGGTGAGCCAAACACACGCCCCCCCACCACCCTCCCCATGAACAAAACACATCTTTAACCTCAACTACTGTCGCTTCCTTCCTGCTCGTTTGCCTCTTTGGCCGGGAGGAACACAGGGCGACCAAGTGATAGTGACTAGTGACCAGTGATAGTGACTAATGAAAGTGACTAGTGACTAGTGATAGCGATAGTGAGTAGCGATAGTGAGTAGCGATAGTGACTAGTGAGTAGTGACAAATGTGTGTGCATGTGCAGTGTGAAGGGGAGTGACCGGTGGAATGTTATAGTCAGTCAGTGGGGGACCGGCTCTGTTGATGAGCCCGACTGCCGACGGGAAGAAACTGTTGGTGTGGCGGGAGGTCTTAGTCCTGATGGACCTCAGCCTCCTGCCAGATGGAAGGGACACAAACAGTTTTTGTCCGGGGTGAGAGGGGTCGGCTACCATCTTTTTAGCTGCTTCAGAGACCTGGAAGGGAACAAGTCCTGCAGGGACGGCAGATTGCAGCCGATCAGCCTCTCTGCAGAGCGGAGGACACGCTGCAGCCTGCCCTTGTCCTTGGCTGTGGCTGCGGCGTACCAGACGGTGATGGAGGAGCAGAGGACGGACTCCATGATGGCCGTGTAGAAGTGGACCATCATCGTCTCTGGCAGGTTGAATTTCTTCAGCTGCCTCAGGAAGAACAACCTCTGCTGAGCCTTCTTGGTGATGGAGCTGATGTTCAGCTCCCACTTGAGGTCCTGGGTGATGATGGAGCCCAGGAAACAGAAGGAGTCCACAATAGTGACGGGGGAGTCACACAGGGTGATGGGTGAGGGTGGGGCTCTGCTCCTCCTGAAATCCACAACCATCTCCAGCGTTGAGCTCCAGGTTGTTCTGACTGCACCAGGACACCAGATGGTCAGACTCCCACCTGTAGGCGGACTCGTCCCCACCAGAGATTAGTCCAATGAGGGTGGTGTCATCCGCAAACTTCAGGAGCTTGACGGACTGGTGACTGGAGGTGCAGCTGTTGGTGTACAGGGAGAAGAGCAGAGGGGAAAGAACGCAGCCTTGGGGGGAACCGGTGCTGATGCTTCACGTGCTGCTTCCTGTCAGACAGACGTTACGACGTCATTTGTTTGTTATTCGACAAAATCTGTTGTGAGCAGTCGATGTATCTCAAAACAAATGTAACAGAAAATGCACAAAGTGAGGAAATAAAAATTGTCAAAGCAAACATTTTAAGACAAACATTACTTTTTGTAAAATGGGTTGTTATTTCATAATTTCATTATTAATTATTTTTGTGCAATAAATATTGTTTTTCACTATTATAAATGATAAGAGATGCTCTGACAATCACTAAATGCCTCATCTGAATATAATTGTCAACATTCATGAAATAAATCAGGTGTTTGGATTATTATTTGAATTGACAGCAAAAAAGTACTCAAACGTTAGCAAAGAGTGGAGATCTAGTCGAGTGTTTTGCTCTCAGTGTGGAGGAACAAGCAGTTTATCATATGCAGAGCGGAGAGGTCAGAGGTCGGGGTGTCGGGTTGGACCAGGTCCTGGATGTGAGCTGGACCCCATCCATTCACAGCATGGTACCTGAGCACCATGTTTAGAACTGGATGAGCCACCGGTACCAGTGAAGAGAGCGGAGGAGTGGAGGAGTGAGGGAGAACTTAGGACGGTTAAAGACCAGTGGAGCTGCTGCATTCTGGATGAGCTGCAGAGGTGGAATGGTGGTAGCAGGAGACCTGCATGTACCTGCGCGTGCTTGTGCGTGTAAATGTGTGTGCGTGCAGTTCGATCTAATGATCACAAACTCTTGTTTATATCATTTACACCAAACCCATCAGAGAAAACATTTGTATCTGATACTCTAAGGTTTACCTCCTTTTCTACTTCTGTGGTCCTAGAAGAAGTACTTACTAACAACACGGCAGACCTCTGTCACGCTTTAGCACGTTCACTGTATTTCTATTTCATTCGATACACTTTGTAATTTCTAATCATGTTTATAGTCATCTGTGTCTTTTATTCACTACAAATCCAGCACATCGCCATGCAATGAAAAAAAAGTATAATATATGTATATAGTATAATGCTATGTAAAACACAAACACAGATTATTAAGATTTGAATTTGAAAAATGAAATATCATGTTATATACTATTGATGTATATTAATAATGACATTTATATATCCCTCCAGAGTGTGATACTTCTCATCTTTGGGTCGATTCCTTAAATAATGAACAGCCATTGAGTTATTTAAAGTAAGTTTCAGGGATTCAAACATCACTTATTTCCATTATTTAGTTGTAGTTCAGTTGTAACCAATTTTTAAAAGTTGGTTGACAAACAAAACACAATAGCATGAATTAAAAATCTATCTGTACTACTGTTTTTCAAAATGTATGTAATTTTAAGTCCCTAATCCCGATGAAGGAAGAAGGAATCCACTGTTGAATCCTTTATAGACTCACTCTGAAGAAACAGTTGACTCCAGCAAAAGTACTGTCAGAAGTGGGATTCGAACCCACGCCTCCATTCGGAGACCAGAAATCCCGTTCAGAGGAAGGCTCGTCACCTTGAGTCTGGCGCCTTAGACCGCTCGGCCATCCTGACAATGACGTCGGTTGGTGGCTGCTTGATTCATTTAACGTTTAAACAGTCAGAACTGAAGAACGTTATTCAAGCCAAGCGGGCAGAATGAATTATCATGCATGGATCATAAGACATTATCATTCATGTATCAAGTATTAATATGATTAACAGCTTCACGATAATGTACACGTTGTATGTGTCATGTTCAACATAATTAAATTACATCTAAATCGTTGGTGAACCACGTATTGGTTCGCATAGTTTGTATCTACTCGTTAATAGACCGTGAAACGAAAAGAAGACGCGAGTCAGACGCAGACAATGTTTCCGGCAAAAAGGTTTGTCAGAAGTGGGATTTGAACCCACGCCTCCATTCGGAGACCAGAAGTCCCTCAACACAGGAAGGTGCTACCTTGAGTCTGGCGCCTTAGACCACTCGGCCATCCTGACAACTGAGTCTGACGGATGAAACGTGGCTATTTCACCCTTTCATGGAGCTCTGGTTTCTCCCCGAGTGTCTTTGTGTCTTTTTGTCTTCCCGAACGCGCCTTCAACCGACGTAATGAGACACAATAAGTGTTTTCTGATTGGGACACGCGAAGGTATTTGTTGTACTTTTGACCTCATGAAGTAAAACAGTATAATAAATAGTCAATAAATGAATACTTGTGTGTTTCCTTTGAATTGCATTGTGTACACTGAGAAAAACATGAATAGAAACACTAATGTAGTCTCTCTTCTTACGTGTAGACGCTAATACACAGAGACGTCCACCAGGGGCGCTGGACATTCACTCACTTCCGGTGTTGTTGGCCGTGACGCCCCGCCCACTTTACTACATAACCGCCGCTCCTCGTTCTTACGAAAGTGAGAACGCGCAGCAGCAGCATGTCGGTGTACCGGAACGCCGTCTGGCTGGTGAAAGGCCTCCAGGAGTACACCAGGTGAGCGGGCAGCGGCGTCCGGGCCGCGGGCTCCTCCGCGCGGGCCTTTAGCTCCGAACAGGCCGCTAGACGCGCTGTGGTTACGCAACGTAACAGTACGTGCTCAACGTAACCACTTCATTATTAGTATTGATGAGTATCTCATTTAAAATGGCTTCAGGTAATTGTATGACTAATAATACATTACCAGGCATTATTTTGTATACTTAATGCGTAAAAGTATAAAGTAGGACTTTGGATTTTTTTTTTTTTTTATAATTTCTTACTCATAAAAAAAAAAGAATCATTTCAGGATCGATAATCATCTGATCAATTCTTCCAGGAGCGGCTACGAGGCGGCGGCGAAGCACTTCGCCCCCGCGGACCTGGAGGTGAGCCTCAGCGGGAGGTCCTACGTCATCACGGGGGCCAACAGCGGCCTCGGCAAGGCCACGGCGCAGGAGGTGGCCAACAGAGGTGCGTGTGCGTGCGCGTTAGAAGCTGATCTGAAGTCTGCTAGTTCAACAGGTGGACGGGTTTGGTCTCTTAGCATCCTTCTCACCAGCATCACTGACCTCCAGTAGGTGACCTGCTTGTAGAGCTGGAATCTCCTGGACCCTGAATGCCTCGCGAGGCTTTCTGTTGCTCCTCGTCACTGATGTGCTTTCATGTCTGCAGGAGGAACCGTTCACATGGTCTGCAGGAACCAGAGCCGAGCAGACGCCGCCAAGGAGGAGATCGTGGAACGCAGTAAAAACCAGGTGAGCATTGAAGCTGGACGGAGTCGTCCTCCTTGTACCAGAGACAATACTTCTTCACTCCACTGTGTGAGTGTGGCCAAACATCCTGGTACTTTAGACAAGCTTTTACCACTATACCATGTTACGCCATACAGCCAGCATGCGGCTCTTAAACCGGCCCACAATCCTTTGCACGCTGTTATAAGAGCTAGAGGATCAAAGTTCAAAGAGCGCTGTTCTAAGGAAGTAGTATTCCCTCAAAGAGGGGCTGTTGTACTTCAGGGAGAGGGTGTATTTGTGGTTTATACGTTTCATCTTACTGCCGAAAAACATTCATTGTTTTTAATCCTGGATCTGATTAGCTGTAAAAAGAAATATAAAAAAAAAAACCTTCAAATGGAGTATACTTTCCTATTTCAATGTTCACATTTTTTTCTTTCCCAGAACGTCCACGTCCACATTGTCGACATGTCCAACGCAAGACAAGTGTGGGAGTTTGCCCAGAGCTTCTCTCAGAGCAGCTGTCTTCATGTGCTGGTAGGTGATGGTGCTGAGGAGGACGCAGTCGCCATGGCGACGTCTCTTGCTAGTGTTGTTTTTTTGTCCTTTAGCCATGTTTGGTTTTAGCAACAAGTAAACGGGAAGTGACCATATATGGACTGAGGGGGAGATAGCGACGTCATATACGTCTCTGGTAGAGTGGAAACTTCTGCTTTATGGTCTGTCAATCAGCGTGTAGCCCCGCCCTAAAGCGTCCCCTGCTTTATGGTCTGTGACTCTAAATAGAACATAAGTCACTAAATGAACATCATGCTGTGTTGAAGACTTGAAACTAGAGACTGAGACCATAAACTCATGTTTACAACGTTTACTGAGGGAATAAATCAAGAGAGAAGTAGAGTCATTTCCTCATAGACGTCTATGGGAGCAGAGGAGTCGCCCCCTGCTGGTCACTACAGAGAAGTAGAGTCATTTCCTCATAGACGTCTATGGGAGCAGAGGAGTCGCCCCCTGCTGGTCACTACAGAGAAGTAGAGTCATTTCCTCATAGACGTCTATGGGAGCAGAGGAGTCGCCCCCTGCTGGTCACTACAGAGAAGTAGAGTCATTTCCTCATAGACGTCTATGGGAGCAGAGGAGTCGCCCCCTGCTGGTCACTACACAGAATGCAGCTTTAACACATGAAGCTCTGTCGTCGCTTTAGAGATCAGAGGTGGTTTTCTGGTGTCGATCCTGTTATGTCGGTGTTCTTCATCCTTTCTTGTTCTCCAGATCAACAACGCCGGCTGTATGGTGAACGAGCGAGAGCTCACCGAGGACGGACTGGAGAAGAACTTTGCCACAAATACACTCGGTGAGGAAATACTACCATAGTACTTCAGGAACTGCTACACAAACAAAGCGTTTTGCTTTTCTTTCTTTCAGATATGTAACCATGTTTTTGTCTTTGTTTTAATGAAGACTTAGAAAGTTATTCAATCTTACTGTGCATATTTAAACGAAAGGACCAGTAGAAAAACGTAGCAGTTTAATCTCTTAAATTCAGTGTATTTATTTTTCTTCACCCGGCTCCGTTTCATTTGACCTCTGGCGGCCCTGTTATCATGGAACAGTAATCCAAACCTCCTTTTATTATATTGTTTTATTGTAGGCACATACATCCTCACCACGGCGCTGATCCCGGCCCTCAAGAAGGTTGAAGACCCCAGAGTGGTGGGTGGAGTCGGGCTCTTCCATGTGCTCTGGTTCTGCTGGTGGGACTGAACCTCCAGCTGGTGTCTCCTCTCAGGTCACCGTGTCGTCGGGCGGAATGCTCACCCAGAAGCTCAACGCCGACGACCTCCAGTTTGAGAAGGGGGCGTTTGACGGCACCGCGGCCTACGCTCAGAACAAAGTGAGGGACGTCCTCCGCGGCAAAGACGGATGGAGGAGCTCCGTCCGTGGTGGCTGACGGGTGTTTGTGTTGTGTGTCCAGAGGCAGCAGGTGATCCTAACAGAAAGGTGGGCCACTCAGCACAAAGACATCCACTTCTCCTCCATGCACCCCGGCTGGGCAGACACTCCAGGTCACAGCAATTATTTTCTTCAATTTATTACTTTTTTTAAATTTTTTAAATTTTACTTTTTATTTTCTTACTGAAATTATTTAATTTGAATGTTTACATCTACTTTGAAATTCCATTTAAGTTATTATTCTTTATTTACATTTTTATTTGGATTTAATATTCTATCAATATATATTACATTCAGTCTATTTCTGTTAATCATTATTTTATAATCATCCAATAGCTTATTAAATTGACTCCAATATCTTTGTTCATGGGCATATTAAATGTAATTAAAATGTACTTTTAACTATTTAATTGGACAATAACACAACTGATTGAAATGTTAAATCACTGGTTTGTGCATTAATAATAACAGCAACTATGACGTGTAACGCCTGCGTGTTTGTCTCTGCAGCCGTGCAGACCTCCATGCCGTCCTTCCACGCCAAGATGCAGGCCAAGCTGAGGACGGAGGCCATGGGCGCCGACACCGTAGTGTGGCTCGCCGTGTCCGCCGCCGCCGCCAAGCAGCCGAGCGGCCTCTTCTTCCAGGGTCAGCAACACGTCACCACGCACGACCCGGCGTGATGTCCAGGGTCACGGATCAGATCCTCCCTATGAGATCCTGAGAGGCCGCCATGCTAGTTAGCTGCTGCAGACGAGCGTAGCCGAGGGGTTTTTAGTTGCATCTGTACTTTATGATGATGATAAAACAACTTTATTTCTTGCACAGCACCACAACTTCACTTCTGCTTGTTGGTCACAATAAAGCTCCAAAAACCTGGTCTGGAGCCGTTTCCTGTAGAGCTTAGCGTGACTGTATGATGGGTTACACTGGTTCGCTTGTTAGCTAGCTAGCTTAGCTGGTTAGCTCGTCCACGTCCCCTGACCTGCTCTGTGTTTGCAGATCGTAAAGCTGTGGCCACTCACCTCCCGCTGGCCTCCTCCAGGGCGTCTGCGCAGGAGGAGGAGAAGCTGCTCGCCGCTCTGGACGAGTTTGCCCTCAAGTTCAAACCGTGAAGCCGCCTGCAAGCGACGGTTTGCATCACCGCGGGTCCCAACGCGCAAGAACGACCACAGCAAATGTTGGCTTTTTATTTAAATGTGTCGATCAAAAAAAGTATTTATTCTCGAATTATAAAATATTGAAAATTTCCCCCTTAAAATGATCATTTGTTCCCTCGTCTCTTTAGGGGAATGAAACTCAAACAAGCTGTTTTAAACCAAGTCTTCTTCATCGTGATGCTTTTGTCTTCACAAACACACTTATATAAATAACTCAATGCTGTTAATATCTAATAAGTTCATCTGGATGTTTGGATCTAATCAAACGCACTTTGACAGAATATAGATATTTAAATCAAACATGAAGATTCTGCTTTTCTCTCCTTGCTCATAATTATACTTGTTAACCTTAATATTGTTAGAATGATTGTTCTTGTTCCACACGATGATTGAAATTTTAACTTTTTTTTTCCTTTTCTGTTGATCTGATGTCATGCTCATGACTTAATATGGAGTAAAATATATAAATAACACTGAACATCCATCTGTGTTCATGTTTGCTTTTACATTTCAATCTGCATGCCTTTAAAGAGAATTCGGCCCAAGAAATCAAGGAGAGGAATTTGCACTTTACACGAATGCGTCCGTGACAAAGGAATTCACCACACTGACTCATTTACATCACAGGATTTTATTTTGAAAAGCTAGCAATTTAGTTTTCAGGCGTTTTTTTAATATTCCAGTGAAACTGTGAAGACGATGCTAAAGAGTGAAGCTATATACAGAGATAAATATATAGGTATATTGATTATTCCCTCTGCTTGATTTTCACACCCTGAAACTAAAAGCTGTACAACGGCAACAACACAAATATGATACGTGGTTGAATAGAATTGTGTTTATGACTTAACGGCTGCTCCAGTCTGACCTTTATGGATGAAACATGTTTAATATCACAAATTGTTAGGAAATGTTGAGTGAATGCTCAGTAAATATTAACTCAATATTCAGTGGGTCAAAAGTACAAAGTCACCGTCTGACTGCTGAAGAACAAACGTGTTTTCTCTTCACAGTGTGTCGTTTTTCTCTTCTCCATTCCAGTGCAGTAACAAAAAGGGTTAGTTTGGTCACGGCGCCCACATGCTGGGTGATAAATACGCTGACTAGCAGTAGAGACCGGCGTGCAGTTTACAACACGCCGCGATGACCTCATCATGACGTCACACTTGGGTTTCTCTGAAGTGACAGAAGAAGTAACCTCCAGAGATGGACAGCGAGCAGATGGAAGGTTGGACGGGGAGACGGATGGACGCGGGGACACGCAGCCGCCACAGAGCAAACTGAGGACATGTATGTAAAGTACGTTTACGGAACACGGAGACGTGAAATGAACTTTTCACCAGGCTCCGTCGATGAAAACAGGGATTTAACCGCTTCTGTTGGCTAGTTTGTGTTACTGTGTGACTTTTAAATGTTTCATTCAGATCCTCCAAAGTCACCCAACAACACAAACTGACACAGATGGAGTGTTTGAACAGACGTGAAAAGGTCCAAATATTCACTGGACTGATAGAGATCATTTTAAGTTTAAACCTGCAGACCGACAATCAGCTCCATCGCATCAAATCCCTGAACCCGCCCCTAAAGAGAGCCAGCTGTCACTCAAACACCCGTCCTTCCGTCCGTGACCTTGGGTCAAAGGTCAGAGTGAGGCCCGACCCACTCCAACGGCCTGCAGGGTCCTGGCCGATGACCAGCTGGTCATGTGATTGATCCCGGTCCCGCCTGAAGCTCAGGACACCACAGGACTCATGTCCCACAGCTGTGGGCGGAGTCAGAGACGAAGCGTTAAACCATTTGATCCTCCAGTGATAGTTATTGTTACATCACGATTAAAACTGTCAGAATCACATTTTTATGTAACGCTGTTGCCATTTTTCACATTGTTATTAATTTACACTCAACCAATTTTTATTCTATTGTTCATAGATCTACATTTTTACTTATTCTTTGATGAAACTGTGGTACAATAAATTAATTTTATATATTTATTATCATCATCACTCTATTATACCACTACTACTGTTATTGATAATTATTTTATTGTATTTGTTTGACTTTATTAATAAAAATGTGTTGGAGCATTTAGATTTTTATCTCATTAAATTGTTATTATCGAGTTTCTTTTATTTTGAAAGCGATTCTACAACCCAACAAATTCTGCTAAAACATTAAACCAACACTAATGATGATGTCTTGCGGCGCTCTGACCTTGACGACCTTGTCGGTCCCGGAGGTCAGCAGCTTCCCCGTGGTGGGCTCGTAGTGCATGTGCACGACGCCGTGCTTGCTGTCGTGGAAGGTGACGGTGGGCGCTCGGCTGCGGGACACAGAGAGCGTGTCAGAGAGGTTCTGCGTGACGGGACAGTAGTGGTCAGCTGGGGTCAGGTCGGTACTCACTCCTCGTCGCTGATGGACTCGTGGCAGCCGTCGCAGACTCGCACCTCGAACTCGAAGCCCATGAGCGGGATGGCGGAGCGGCGGGACGAGCACTTGGCGCACACGGCCCGGCCGCACTTCCTGCAGTGATGCTGAAGAACGACAACGTGTCACAATCGTTCATTCATACAAACGACAAACTTAAATGTCCATAAGTTGTAAATTAAAAAGGATGATTTTTGGACAATAAATTCATAAACATATATATGGAAATAAATAGCAGTGTGAAGCGAGACAGGAAGTTGTTCCTGAGAGAAGAGTTCGATAAGTGCGTTTGCGTTGTAGAAGTAGTCACGTGTGATTTATGATTCATGACTTGGTCACCTGTCGGAGGCCGATCTTCTTACTGTCCCACATCTGTTTGAAGTTCCAGAAGAAGGGCTGCTCACACTTCTGACACGAGTCGCTGTCCAACCACTCGGGGGTCTGCGAACATCAAGACACTTTCAAGACAACTTGACGACACGAACATCAAGTCCCTCGTCTCAACTTCCCTCTCTTCTTTCTTCCTCCTCCTCCTCCTCCTCCTCCTCACCTCTTGTCTCGTTACGTCCATGTTCCAGATGACGATGCTTCCGTCTGAGCTGCAGGAGATCAGCTGACGGGTGTGTGAAGCGTAGCAGAGACCCTGAACCTTCTCACTGCAGGGAGACACACACACACACACACACACACACACACACACTGAATTGCATGAAGGAAGTCAATCAACCATCACGTGTCACCATGAGGCGGCGCTGAGGTGCGTTCAGGGGATATCTGGGATTCTCACTTGTGACCCTGCAGCTCGATGGCGGTGCCTTTGCGGCCTCCGATGTCCCACATGATGATGGAGTGGTCCGAGCTGCCGGAGAACAGAACCCTCTGGACCGGGTCCCAGCACAGAGCCGTCACATGACCTGGAGGCATGCACACAGTCACACAAGAAGACACACATACAGAGTCACACACACACACACGTATATACACTAATACCACCTTGAATTAATGTTGTGTGTATGTCTCTGTGTACCAGTGTGTCCTTTGAAGGTGGTCACCAAGCTGCAGCTGTCCTGCTCCAGCTTCAGGATGGTCACCTGACCCGACTGGTCTCCTACGAAAGCATGTCTGGTCTCCACGTCGAACCGAGGAACGAGTTAAGGTCCATGGAGAAGAAGATGATGATGCATTCATGGTCAATGTGGTCCACAGTGCAAACTACATTGTGTAGGACGACCTGATCAGCACAAAGTAGTTATTTGCCTCCGGAGAGGGGGAGGGGCTTATCTCCATGGAAACCGTTATCTACTCAGCCGTTTATGTCCTCCAACTATGAGATAAACAACCATCCGGCTGGTTTATTACAGCGGTGTGTACCTAAAATACAAAATACGTTATGCGGAAATAACAAAATAATAATGGCTAACGTCATTGATGTCAAGAGAAGCATCCCGTCTCTGATTGGCTGTGGAGACCCAGCGTGTCCCACTCAGATGGGGGGGAAAGGATACTGGAGGCCGGAGACCCAGGCGGCCGTGCGGTACGTCCCCAGCTGCTGACCGCTCTCCGAGCAGAGCCAGTTGAGGTTCTTGTCCTGGCCGGTGCTTAGGAGCCACTCCATCTCCAGCACGAACAGGACCACTGTGACCCGGCCCTGATGGGCTGCACACACACACCGCAGATCCATTGTGAGAACCTCATGGCTCAGAGGCCGTTCGTTTTCCCGCCATGTTTTTATAGACATCAGGAATGAATAAAAGATGTGAATTAATACAATCGCTAGCTGTCAACATCAATCTGACTAAAATACACACAAACTTTCTGTCTCACCCTGGTAGGTGCTGGCTGGGGTCAACTTGTTGTAGTCTTCCGACAGGACAAATTCCTGAAAGATAGGAAGTGACAGAGTGTAACTACAGACAATGTAGTTACACTCTATATAGATTCCTGCAGTGATGATGTGTTTCTGTAGTCCAACAGGAAGTCGTCATGTTTCTGTAGTCCAACAGGAAGCCGTCATGTTTCTGTAGTCCAACAGGAAGCCGTCATGTTTCTGTAGTCCAACAGGAAGTCGTCATGTTTCTGTAGTCCAACAGGAAGCTGTCATGTTTCTGTAGTCTAACAGGAAGTCGTCATGTTTCTGTAGTCCAACAGGAAGTCGTCATGTTTCTGTAGTCCAACAGGAAGCCGTCATGTTTCTGTAGTCCAACAGGAAGCCGTCATGTTTCTGTAGTCCAACAGGAAGTCGTCATGTTTCTGTAGACCAACAGGAAGTCGTCATGTTTCTGTAGACCAACAGGAAGCTGTCATGTTTTTGTAGTCTAACAGGAAGTCGTCATGTTTCTGTAGTCTAACAGGAAGTCGTCATGTTTCTGTAGTCTAACAGGAAGTCGTCATGTTTCTGTAGACCAACAGGAAGCTGTCATGTTTCTGTAGTCTAACAGGAAGTCGTCATGTTTCTGTAGACCAACAGGAAGTCGTCATGTTTCTGTAGACCAACAGGAAGTCGTCATGTTTCTGTAGTCTAACAGGAAGTCGTCATGTTTCTGTAGTCTAACAGGAAGTCGTCATGTTTCTGTAGTCCAACAGGAAGTCGTCATGTTTCTGTAGTATAACAGGAAGTCGTCATGTTTCTGTAGTATAACAGGAAGTCGTCATGTTTCTGTAGACCAACAGGAAGTCATCATGTTTCTGTAGTCTAACAGGAAGTCATCATGTTTCTGTAGACCAACAGGAAGTCGTCATGTTTCTGTAGTGCAACAGGAAGCCGTCATGTTTCTGTAGTCCAACAGGAAGCTGTCATGTTTCTGTAGTCTAACAGGAAGTCGTCATGTTTCTGTAGTCTAACAGGAAGTCGTCATGTTTCTGTAGACCAACAGGAAGTCGTCATGTTTCTGTAGACCAACAGGAAGCTGTCATGTTTTTGTAGTCTAACAGGAAGTCGTCATGTTTCTGTAGTCTAACAGGAAGTCGTCATGTTTCTGTAGTCTAACAGGAAGTCGTCATGTTTCTGTAGACCAACTGACCTGTTTTATATTAGAGAACAAAACGCTGGTTTTACACAAACTTTAAAATCCGACATACACAAACATTTTCACTTCCTGTATGGGAACAGGAAGTGGTCAAACGCTGAGTCATGTCTTGGTTTAGCACTCGGTTCAGCCCTTCCTCCTGCAAATAGTTCCACTTTTTCTAAAAAATCAACCAGTGGAGAGACAAACAGATAACTCCCTGAACATCAGAGATCCACAAGTTCTAAGGTCGATCTGACATTAAATCTGATCTGACAGGGTCGTCGTGGCACCAGGAACCGGCTCCATGTCCAATGTCAAAGTGTCCCTGAGCAAGACACCTCACCCCTAAATGCTCCCCGGGCAAAAAATGTAAAAAGTCATGGGTTAAAAATGGAATGTAAGTCGCTTTGGATAAAAGCGTCAGCTAAATGACCTGTAATGTGATGTCAATTAAATGGCTCACTGAAGTAGATGTTCCTGTCGACACACAGTCAGAGAACATGAGGGGAACTCACACAGATGCTGCCGGTGTCCATCCCCACGGAGAGCCTCCTCGTCTCTGGGTTGAAGGACATGCAGGAGCACGAGGCTTGACACAAACAGGGAGGAGAGGGAGAACCTTTGAACATGGACTGGTTTTGTTGGAGCAAAACCTGGATCAGACATTATATATAACAATAAACACCGGAGCAGGACTTACTGGAGAGCGTGTGGTAGACACTCGGCCAGTACTGACCGCTGTCTCTCTTCAGCCAAACCCGGATCGTCCTGTGGGAAGAAACCAGACGGTTTTAGAGCCGTCATGAGGTTCAACGCTCTCAGTGTACAATAAACACACCAAACCTCTGGTTCTATAAAGTGAAGTCAAAGCTTCATTTGTTTAAATTTGACAAAACAAACCTGGATCAAAATAAAGACACATTCAAAAGAAAACCAGGGGGATTCTGGGTAAGGTTACGGAGAACACACAACCGGTGAACACACACAAACACACGCGCACAGTGCATCACTAAGTGAGGGGAGAATTATTCTACTAGTGACCCCGATCGGGCCCCGAACCAGAGGCTGAGCACCTCTGATCCTTTTAAAACGTTAGAAAAAATGCAGAGCTCTTCTTGTCTTTTACATTAAAATGATGTGAATCCGCACGTTAAATTGGTTAATGGTACAATAAAACATTAAAAGAGCAAACTGTGGGTTATATTATGCAACAGGGTCAGCGGACTCTTTAACAGAAACGTTAGCACATTATTTCACCATAAACACACACACACACACACACACACACACACACACACACACACACACGATGCATACATCACACACACCGGAGCGGAGACCCGCTCGTGGCCGCCGGGTGACGGAGGCTGGTTCGGGCTCGTACCTGTCCTCGGACACGCTGATGACGCCGTCCTCCTTCGGGATGATGACCGCCGAGCTAACGACATCTTGGAAAGGCTCGATCGTGCTCAGCAGACATGGCGTCCGAGCCTGCGGGCGAGGCTGTCTTTCGGCCGCCATGAGTCGCTAGTGGAGCTCAGTCCTCCGGTCTACATTCCCGCTCGCCCCCCGTCCGACGGCGAAGCCTCGTCTGCTCCACGTTAGCTGCTAGCTGGCTAGCCAGCTGTCAGCGGTGTTGTGACTGTTGCCAGTCAGCTGACACACATCCGGGTAAACAGGAAGAACTTCCTGTCTACGAAATAAGACGCCCGATTGACCATAGATGTGTATCTGATTGACCATAGATGTGTATCTGATTGACCATAGATGTGTATCTGATTGACCATAGATGTGTATCCGATTGACCATAGATGTGTATCTGATTGACCATAGATGTGTATCTGATTGACCTTAGATGTGTAACCGATTGACCATTGATGTGTATCCGATTGACCTTAGATGTGTAACCGATTGACCATAGATGTGTATCCGATTGACCATAGATGTGTATCTGATTGACCTTAGATGTGTATCTGATTGACCATTGATGTGTATCTGATTGACCTTAGATGTGTATCCGATTGACCATAGATGTGTATCCGATTGACCATAGATGTGTATCCGATTGACCTTAGATGTGTATCTGATTGACCTTAGATGTGTATCTGATTGACCATTGATGTGTATCTGATTGACCTTAGATGTGTAACCGATTGACCATTGATGTGTATCCGATTGACCTTAGATGTGTAACCGATTGACCATAGATGTGTATCCGATTGACCATAGATTTGTATCTGATTGACCTTAGATGTGTATCTGATTGACCTTAGATGTGTATCCGATTGACCATAGATGTGTATCCGATTGACCATAGATGTGTATCCGATTGACCTTAGATGTGTATCTGATTGACCATAGATGTTCCAGATTCAGTGTGACGGTTGCAGCAGGTGGTTCCATGCAGACTGCCTGCACAGATTAAGAGCAATGCTTGGATATGCACTTTGTGCAGTAACTAAATCCGCATTCAGTATTTCTTGGTCTTGGTCTCTTTTTATATGCCTACGCGCCTTATCTGTCTGTGAATAGAATATTCTATACATGTCATGTTCACTAACTTTGCCTTCATTTCCTCAGAAAGTTTACAGTAATAGTTAATAGAGGAGGTCAACATGAACTAGGATTAAGTGAAAACAGAGTGTTATCATTTTTGGATCAGTTCAAAGATTGGGATATGACACTCCACAGGGAAATGACGATTGGTGCCTTTTTGGCTGTACAAGCCATTTTACCCCAACGCCCGGAATAGAGGTGCATTTTATTTTGAAATGAGGTCCACTACTACTAGAACTACTACTTCAAGGACCAACAACCCTACTACTACTACGACTACTACTACTACTACTACTACTACTAGGACTACTACTTCTAGGACCAACAACCCTACTACTACTACGACTACTAGGACTAGTCGTACTACTACCTACTAATACTACTACCTAATAGATAGTGGTCAGCAGACATGGCGTCCGAGCCTGCGGGCGAGGCTGTCAGGATCTGTCAGAATCCTGATTCCTGATCCTGATAGATACATTTGATTGGTTCACAGTGACAATCAATGTAAATTAGGATTCCATTTCCCCATCAACCTACGTGATTTTATTCTGAAAAGAACGTGCTAGTCTCAAACCGGAATACGAGTCGTGTTTGTACGCGTGTGTTCGTGTTCATATGTGCGTGTGTGCGTGCGTGTTGCAGCAGTCCTTCCTCCTCTTTGCTCTCCACGGTCCCGGATGTTTCCTCTTATTTTTGCGGAAGTGTTGATATTTTTCCAACCCACATTATGCAAATCAAGCGGCACGGGCACGCGCGTCCGGCTGACTGTCACGTGGCACAGCGCGCGGCCCGCAGCATGACGTGTTAGAGAAAATGCTCAGCAAAGTGGCTGAGATGGATCGTTTCACATGCTTTTATTGTGAAACCGCATCTTTGAAGAAAACAAGGGAGGAAGCTTATTTTTAACACACATCACACCAAAAGATCCAGAAAAAAACATCCAGGACAATGATAGTAATAATAATAATTATGGCGACCATATTAAATATATTAAAAAGAATACACTTATAAATAAAAAGTCATAATAATGACAATAATGACAAATTAACAATAGTGGTAGTAATTACGATAAATATATAAATACTACTACAGTAATGAATCATAATTCATCTCCTTCCAAAGTCTTTCTGACTCTCACTCATAAAATAACAACGACTCAGTGTTCATGTCTGATCTTCTAGATTGTTGTGCACAAGGAGGACTAGTCTAGCCCTCTGGTGGAGCTGCAGGGTGTGCGCATGTCAGTTCAGCAGCGTTTCCTTCCTTTTGGCACGAAGAGGCCCGTCTTTGGTCCCTGGTTGCATTCCAGGTTTCATAAGTTACTGTTATTTTTTCTTTTTCTATATAAGTATAACTATATATAACTTTATACACATATAGAGTCATATAGATATTTGGGGAGTTGTCGTTAACAGTACATGTGTAGGATGTCCTCGACACCGGACAACCACCATTCTTAAATAATACGCTCTCAAACAGTCGCCACCCTCATATGTTGTGTTCTTCCCGTATAATGCATGAACAGGATCGTTTCCTCGCACGCATGCGCACTAGAACCTTGTCCTGGGCCCTTTCGCGGAAACGGTAAGGAGCGTGCTTCAGGGGGCCAATGACCTGGCGAGTTACTGCTCACACGTGACGCTGACGGACCGCGTGGGGATTGAGGCGGGTTAGGGGCGGGGCCTGCACGCGGAGCTCCGGGTAAAAGCGGCGCATGAGCCATAAACGCATTCAGTGTAGGGCGAAGCAGGGGTACACAATGAGGGGCAACTTTTACTACTATGAAACTTAAGAGTAATGGCAACAAATTGTTTAAAATAATTATCAACAGTCCCTCGTGAATCCATAACCTGTCCCTTGGGTTTGACTTTTTTTGTAGTTTAGTTCTCCCGGAAAGGGCTTCTACACTTCTACACTGTTCGTACACTTTTTTCTTTTTCTCGGTAAAGAATGTGTGAGAGACATTTAGCAAGCTAATGCTAGTTAGCGAGCTAATGCTAGCTAGCTAGCTTAGCTAACTAGCTAGCCGAGAGGGTGACAGAGGCGGCGGGAGAACAAAAGGTTTTTTTGTCCGGTTGTACCGACACCGGGTCCATGCAGAGCGGGTCGCTGCCATCACAATGCCGGTACTACTTTTCCTGATAGACACGTCCGCGTCCATGAACCAGCGCACCCACCTGGGCACTTCCTATCTGGACATAGCTAAAGGCGCCGTGGAGACCTTTATGAAGGTACCGTGAGAAGCCGGCGCGGCGTACCGGGGAACTTGTGCTCGGTGTGCTTGTGTGTCGGTGACTTAACGCTCCGTGTGTCCACAGCTCAGAGGCAGAGACCCGGCCAGCAGGGGGGACCGGTACATGCTGGTCAATTACGAAGACGTTCCGTTCGGGATCAAGGTAGAGTTCTTAGCTTGTGTCAGTCGGAGTCATGTCCTCCTCCTCATCACGTCAGTTATTGTGTACTAACTCCCAACTACAGGAGGAGCTTCTCTTTAAAACATGGCCGACATTTTGTTTCAGTGTGAGCAGCAAGGAACTCTGGGTGTTATTTATACAGAGAGGAGGAGGAGATATGCGAGGTGAAGAGGAGGAGATATCCGGGGGAGGGGGAGGAGGGGGGAGGAGATATGAGGGGGGACTGATATTTAACTGATACAAATAGTCAACTTGTCTCTTTTTAAAATGTTTGTGGTTCTCAACAAACTAATTTACACAATAAGAAATACAAATATTTTTAAATGTATTTCTAGAATGTAGACAATCTATATATCCTCTTTATATAAATATATATATATATATATATATTAATCTGTCTGTCCCTCCAGGCTGGGTGGAAGGAGAGCCACGCCACCTTCATGACGGAGCTCAGGAACCTTCAGGCAGCAGGTCTCACCTCCATCGGCACGTCTCTGCGGACGGCGTTTGATTTGCTCAACCTCAATAGATTAGTGACGGGGATAGACAACTATGGACAGGTACGTAGTTCTGGTGTCCCCACACACATCGTGTCCCCCGGCCCCCAGTCCTACAAGCATCAACCACATCGAGACCCCTCCCCCTCCCCAACCCACACACACTGTCATGTGATCATGTCACAAACACAAAAACACATGACGCTTTGTGTATTTATTAACAGTCCTATACCACCATATGATATCTCTGTATATTACATCATGTTATACTATACAGGCCAGTTTAAGTCTGAATCTCTCTGAAAAACCGCAGCCTCCATAATAACATTGGAACACCTTTGGTTATTACTTTAAACACGAGTAGATTACGAAGTAGTGATATTATACTGGCGCTGTGTCCTTACAGCCAATCGGCGTTGACGTGCCCCTTATGACATCACTCGCCCAACCCCAGTCTGCCCCTCGCTCACTCACACGGTGAGGCCTCTGACTCCTGTCACATCGTTCAGTGTTTGAGGCCTTTATGAACCCTTTCAGTGACCTATTGAATAAATATTCTCACGTTCTATTCTGTAATGCTAAGGAAAGGAGCCTCAATGCTTCCTTACTCCTTCAGCATAGGAACCATGGACCAGAGGAAAGGAGATGATTGCTGGCGGAGGGAATGTTCAAATAGAGACGTGTCATTGGTCCGTTCAGGAGAAACGACGATCGTGACGTAGAAACGCAGATCATGTGACTCACTCGTTTACGTTAATACCGTTTTCCTTTGAAGCTGGTTGTTTGTGTGTCCGCACGACTCACACTAACCGCTGCAGACTGACGTCACCAGCAAGCGTCTCCGTCCATCGCAACGCCGCCTAAACGCCGCCTTGTCCTTTCCCGTCTCCTCATCAACTCTCCTAACCACCTTTCCTTCACCCCGTGACCTTTTCCACAGAGGTCAATGTGGTTAGGAACAAATGTTAGGAGGTCATTTCTTTGACTATTTCTTAGCCTGGATTTGGCCACTGACCCATTGATGGTTCAGGATAATCGGTGCATCTCGGGTCGGTGCAGCGGTAATAAAGCAGCCGTGTGTTTCCATAGAAACGGTCAACACACCTCGTGATGATGTCGTGAACTTGGACAGGAAGCAGCTCAGTTACTCTGGATATGTGAGACAGAAACAGGTCATTATTTTAATGGTTGATAAAAATAAAGGGTTGGAACAGTTTGAGTAACGGTTCCCGTAGAGATGAGCCCCCCCCCCCCCCCAGCACGGAGTGAATTCATCCAACGTCTGTAAATAGGTTTCATTTATACATTTTCCTATTTACTGACAGGATAAAGAGGAAAATCAAATCGGATTGTTCTCAATATAAGACAATACCTGTTGTCACAGTGATTTAATAACAATAAAATAAAACTATATATTGTAATAAAATTTAATATTTTGTAGTTATTTCAAGTTAGTTCCTTTTTAATTTTCATATTAAAATAACAAAGGATTGTGAAGAATTTTATTTTACAAAAGTATTCTCCTTTATTCTGAAGAGAATGTCTAACCTCCTTATATCTATAAACTCAACATCTGCTCCCATTTGTGATAAATTCAGATTCTAAATGCTCTTTGGTCGTATTTTAATTAATTTGTGATCAATTTTTCCTTTTGTTTTGCAGGGAAGAAATCCCTTTTTCCTCGAACCTGCCATCATAATCGCCATCACCGACGGCAACAAGCTGACCAGCGGCGGAGGAGTCCAAGATGAGGTGAAAACATTGAGCTTCTGCTTCATCTCTTGGTTTGTTGTTGTGAGACTTCAGCCGACTCCGTGGACTGTGCGGCGTTTAACGTTCCTTCGAGGACCAAATCGCCAACAACTCAATCTAACATCAACAACCGATCCAGCTAACGTGGAGCGTCCTCGTCCTCTCGCCGTGACTCCTCCTCTCCTCTCCGTCCTTCCAGCTGCACCTCCCTCTGAACACGCCGCTGCCGGGCAGCGAGCTCACCAAGGAGCCGTTCCGCTGGGACCAGCGTCTGTTCGCTTTGGTGTTACGCATCGCCGGCAACGCCTCCGTGGAGCCCGAGCCCCTCGGCGGCGTCCCGCCAGACGACTCCCCCATCACCCCCATGTGTGAGGTCACTGGAGGTGAGAGTCTGAGGGACATGAGCAGGAGGCGACCTCTTGTTCTCAGAGTTCAATGCTTTCCTACACCGTGACCACATTGTGGATTGAGTTGTTTTTACCCATTTAGTGGCTGGCTAGCTAGCCAGCTAGCTAGCTAGCCAGCTAGCTAGCTAGCTTGCTAATTCCCCTGTCATGCTTTCCTACTCGCATGGTGACATCATTCTGCTTTACCTTCGCCCAGTAAGAGAGCCTGAACTAACGTGGCTAGCTGCTAACAGCGCTAGCTCCCCCCCTGTGCATTTTAATGTCTATTTGTGTGTGTGTGTGTGTGAAATGATTAAATGGGTTTTGCAGGACGCTCCTACAGCGTGTTCTCTCAGCGCATGTTGAATCAGTGTCTGGAGTCTCTGGTGCAGAAGATCCAGAGCGGAGTAGTGATCAACTTCGAGAAGACCGGACCTGATCCTCCTCCTCTAGAGGGTGAGAGACTCGTCCTCCACCTTCATGCCCCACAAACAGCGCCTTCCTAAACGGTGAAGTCAGCTGTGTGTGTGTTTGTGTGCAGATGCTGAGGTGCTGAAGTCAGGTCCTCAGACTTGGCACTGCTGTCACAAGCTGATCTACGTGCGACCAAATCCTAAGACCGGAGTCCCCATCGGTCACTGGCCGATCCCCGAGGCCTTCTGGCCGGACCAGAACTCCCCCACCTTGGTGAGAAACTTCATCCATGGGTTGATAATTTGTATTTTGTAATATTAGTTGAAAATAACTAATGAGAATGAAGTAATAAAAGTTCAGCTGTGAGATATTCTGTAAGAATTAAAAGGGTCTGTTATTTCATTATGATGATTTTCACACAATGTAAATGTGATGTTAACATGCTTTATAACAGTATTCCCCTCTATGCCCCCCCGCCAGCCCCCCCGCTCTGCCCACCCACATGTCCGCTTCTCCTGTCTGGACTCCGAGCCGATGGTCATTGACAAGGTTCCTTTCGACAAGTACGAGCTGGAGCCGTCGCCCCTCACTCAGTTCATCCTGGAGAGGAAGTCTCCTCACACCTGCTGGCAGGTACGTACAGGCTGTGAGGTTTGACCTTTGAACCTTCTGAGAAGCTCCACAACATTCGGGTGGAGCCGATGGAGAGAATTAATGCTGTCCATCACAAGAGACCGTGCGTCGCATCACAGCCTACTATTACTACGCTATTATACTGTCATTATGTTCAGTGGCATAAAATGGTCTGAAAATTGCAATAATATCGCACATCGCAATAAATGTTGGTGCAAGAATCGTGACATATGGTGACAGCCCAGTCGTCATGGCAACGTCTCCAATTGGTGTGTGTGGACATTTTGAACTCGAGTGAGTCATTGTCTCATAGACGTCTATGGGAGCAGAGGAGTCGCCCCCTGCTGGTCACTGCAGAGAAGTAGAGTCATTTCCTCATAGACGTCTATGGGAGCAGAGGAGTCGCCCCCTGCTGGTCACTACAGAGAAGTAGAGTCATTTCCTCATAGACGTCTATGGGAGCAGAGGAGTCGCCCCCTGCTGGTCACTACAGAGAAGTAGAGTCATTTCCTCATAGACGTCTATGGGAGCAGAGGAGTCGCCCCCTGCTGGTCACTACAGAGAAGTAGAGTCATTTCCTCATAGACGTCTATGGGAGCAGAGGAGTCGCCCCCTGCTGGTCACTACAGAGAAGTAGAGTCATTTCCTCATAGACGTCTATGGGAGCAGAGGAGTCGCCCCCTGCTGGTCACTACAGAGAAGTAGAGTCATTTCCTCATAGACGTCTATGGGAGCAGAGGAGTCGCCCCCTGCTGGTCACTACAGAGAAGTAGAGTCATTTCCTCATAGACGTCTATGGGAGCAGAGGAGTCGCCCCCTGCTGGTCACTGCAGAGAAGTAGAGTCATTTCCTCATAGACGTCTATGGGAGCAGAGGAGTCGCCCCCTGCTGGTCACTGCAGAGAAGTAGAGTCATTTCCTCATAGACGTCTATGGGAGCAGAGGAGTCGCCCCCTGCTGGTCACTACAGAGAAGTAGAGTCATTTCCTCATAGACGTCTATGGGAGCAGAGGAGTCGCCCCCTGCTGGTCACTGCAGAGAAGTAGAGTCATTTCCTCATAGACGTCTATGGGAGCAGAGGAGTCGCCCCCTGCTGGTCGCCACACAGAACGCAAGGGGGTCTGCTGACATGTCGGTGGGTGTTTGTCTCTGACGCGTGCGCCCGTCTGCAGGTGTTTGTGTGTAACAGTGCCAAGTACAGCGACCTGGGTCAACCCTTCGGCTACCTGAAGGCCAGCACGGCGCTCAACTGTGTCAACCTGTTTGTGATGCCCTACAACTACCCGGTGCTGCTGCCGCTGCTGGGTGAGGCCCCGTGGATTGATCCATAATGTTGTTTGTTCGCATGGAACCAGGGTGTTTATTTATGCCATGGTCCCAAAAATCATTTCAACCCGCTTCAAGTCAGTAAACCTTTTATACTTGAAGTAATTTGTATTGTTTCTTAATGTACTTTATAACAACACGCAGTTGAAATGATAATTATAAGATGAATATTCTATTGTGTGTAATGCTGCATAACAATGAGCTTAGAGTTCAGTGCAGTGGTTCTCACACGGTTTCTGTCGGCCTCACCGCCCCAACAAAGATGTAACAAAATGGTCCATGCTGAATCTTTATTGAAATAACAACATTTTGTGACTAACTGAGAAGAAGTGGACATAACTACACAGTGCGTTCCGTGATGTGACATCAGCCTTTGTTCCATCTGGTCTTTTCTTGCAGACGACTTGATCAAAGTTCACAAGTTCAAACCAACCATCAAGTGGCGTCAGTCCTTTGAGAACTACCTGAAGACGATGCCTCCGTATTACATCGGGGTCAGACTCCACCTCTCTCCATCCGTTCCTCTCTCTCTCTGTCGAGCTCGAGGTCTTTACCGCTCTTCTTCTTCTGTCTGCAGTCGCTGAGGAAGGCGCTGAGGATCATGGGAGCCCCCAACCTGCTGGCCGACAACATGGAGTACGGCCTGAGCTACAGCGTGGTGACGTACCTGAAGAAGCTCAGCCAGCAGGTGAGGAGCCTGAGCTGCAGCAGTTTCACTCTCAATAGAAAATAAAAGCAGGATGTTGAATCAGCTGGTCTCATTGTGAGTGACATCTGAGTGTGAAACGCAAAAAATAAACGATAGAAGACATGATGAACTTCTGCTTGACCACCAAAACTAAATATTTGATCCGCGAAGCAGCTGATTTTATATTTGGTCATAGCGAAATATCCATAGCATTTAAAGATGAACATCGTCGGCTAACTTTCTCTCCTTCGCAGTCCAAAATGGAGTACGACCGTCTGATCGCTCTGATCGGCAAGAAGCAGGTGCCCGAGGCCGGCATCAAGGTGCGCTGGCGAGGAGGAGGGGGGCTGGGGGGCGTGTCTCTGGCCCAGCGGAGGGACTTCATCCATCAGCTGCTGAGTCTCTCCGGAGAAGCTCCGCCTCCTCCCACAGAGCTCAACCCCAAGGAGTTCCAGGGCTTCCAGCTGGCGCTTCTCAACAAGGTGCTGTTGTTGTTGTTGTTGTTGTATACAATGATGGTTCCCCTGCTGGAACAGGACGTTTTTATCATCCGACTCACTGGAAATCCACCGTGTTTATGGTACTTCTGTGCTGGCCTCGTTTGACCTCTGACCTTCTGTGTGTCGTCTTCAGGACCTGAAGCCTCAGAGCTTCAGGAACCCCTACGACATCCCCCGCAGCCACCTGCTGGACCAGCTGAGCCGCATGAGGAGGAACCTGCTCAACACCGGCGTCTGCTCCCTGCGGGGGCAGGACTCAGGTCACTTCACCAGTACCACAGATACTACACACGTCAATCAAATGTCACTGTTCAGGAATTCCATCAAACGATCGAGTGGAGTTTGTGCACAACAAATTGTGATTCTGGAAATGTGTTAAGATGACGACGCGCGCATGTAAATGGAGGAGAATCCGGTCATTTTTCAAAATAAAACATTTTTCAGGAAAAAAGTCAAATGGAAGAAAAGTCCGGTATCGTTCTGACGTTGAAACAAAACCCGTCCTGCATCAAGCCGACTTTGCAGAGATGAATATCTGATCAATGCGTCGTTAACGTTACAGACCAGCTCCACAGCGTCCCCATAGCCCAGATGGGGAACTACCAGGACTTCCTGAAAGCCGCCCCTCAACCCCTCCGGGACGCCGACCCCGAGCAGCCCAAACGCCTGCACACCTTCGGCAACCCCTTTAAGCTGGACAAGAAGGTAACGCCCCCCCCCTCCCCCGCCCCCTCCCCTCTCAGCACACGGCCGCACGCCGTCAGTAAGCTTATTGTCCCCCCCCCTCTCAGGGCATGATGATCGACGAGGCGGATGAGTTTGTGACGGGACCCCAGAACAAAGGGAAGCGGCCCGGGGGGGATGGCGGCAACATGGCGGGGGGAGGACCCAAGAGGCGGCGCTGCATGTCCCCTCTGCTGCGTCTGGGACGGGCCTACACGCCTCCCGTGACGCCGCCTGCTAGCCCGCGACCGACGGGTAAACACACACACACACACACACACGTGTCCCGACGAGGACGGATGCTACCACGACTTTAAAGCTCTGTTTTAAAGTCTTTAAATGTCCGACCCTGCAGACGTGGACCTGACTGACGAAGCACCGGAGCCAAACCTGATCCTGAACCACCTGGACCAGAACCACTACTGCTCAGATGGGGGCTCGGACTCGGAGGCGGAGCTCTCGTCGCTTGTCATTGACCACAAGGAGAACCACGTGGACCCTGAGGACCTTGGGCCCGGGAGGGAGGAGGAAGAAGAGGAGGAGGCGGAGGAGGAGGAGGAGGAGGAGCAGCAGCAAGCGGAGGAAGAAGATGAAGAGGAGAACGGAGGCGGACCAGCGGTACCGTTCGGCGACGAAGGAGCGGAGCTGATGCTCGTGGACCAGCTGCCGCCTCGCTACCTGTCTCCCACGGCCCTGAAGAAGCACATCGCCATGGAGACTACCAAGGTCAACAACGAGCTGAGGACGCTCATCACCAAGGAGATCAGGAGGCCCGGCAGACGTACGTCCGGTACCAGAGCCGTCCTTACCGGGTCATATGACAGAACCAGAGTAGGCTCGGGGATGAATAAAGGAGCTCGTCCACCAGCTGCTGCAGTGATCAATATTTACCACCAGGTGTCACTGTTGGGTCACACAAACAGAAGTAATCAAAGATTACGGTTTAAATTTACCACAACTTGAACAATAGAGATTATAAAGGCAAACGTTTGACACCAAATTGAAAAACTGTGCAAAGACAGAAGCCTCTGGCTGTTGTCACGGTAACCAGAGTCCTGAAAGACTCTCAACACTATATTATTTACTAAATGGATGATCCTAACGAACACAACTATACTTTATGATTCTTTTTGTCTGTGAATATTGAATGACATCTGACCCAAGATGGCCGACCAATCAAAGCAGATGATGAGATGATGAAAAGTGTTTTAACATAATCCAGATAACAGATTTTCTTCCTTACTCACGAGCCGATGAATAAATTCTCCTCCTGTTGCAGACTACGAGAGGATCTTCCTCCTCCTGAAGCAGATCCAGGGAACTCTGGAGACCCGACTCATCTTCCTCCAGAACATCATCAAAGAGGCAGCCAGGTACTTACAACGCGTCATGTGGAACTGAAAATGAGAACATTTGTGTGTCTAAATGGTTTTGTTCTTCAGGTTCAAGAAGCGAGTCCTCATCGAGCAGCTGGAGAACTTCCTGGAGGAGATCCACAATCGATCCATGAGCCTGAACCACGTGGACTCTCTCTGAGACCAGTTCACTTGGGCGACCCCGCCTGTCTCATCGAGGAGGCGGGGCCAGACCCTGAGGGGCGGAGCCAGTCCCGTGTTTCTACACTCCAATAAATGAAGCGCTCCTTGTCCTCGAGGACGAGTCGTTAATAAGTAATAAAGCATTTGATCAGCTCAGGACCGCACAGCTTCTCACTCAGCAATACAGGTTGTTCCTCCCCGTCACCCCCACGTGTCCCCCGCCTCAGGACCTGTCCTGACGGGCTGCCAAACCCCCCCTTTCCTCCCCCTTTCCTCCCCCTCCGTCTCCTGGCGACGCCGTGAAAGCACTTGTGTAGATTTGAGAATGTTTATTTAGCGTAATTTAAAAACACCTTTTTGTTTTGTTTTTCTTTAGTTAAATCTTCTCAAATCTGCACAAAGTTCCTGACCGACCAGAACCTGCCATACTTTGTCTCTGTTTGTGAAGAGGCGGCTACCAAAAGAGTATTTTGAATACGCTGTAAAGATGTAAATAATCCAAGAGTACTTATTTAAAGAGTATGTTCAGAGGAAAACGGCCTTTTTGTAAGTATTTCCATGAATAAAGTTTCTATTTTACACTGTGAAGGCTCGTGTAAATAAAGTGTGTAAAGACTAGACCGAGTGTTTTATTGGGAATATGCAGGTAGAATACACTGTAAATACTCGTACTATAATAATATGCAGGTAGAATACTCTGTAAATACTCGTACTATAATAATATGCAGGTAGAATATACACTAAATACTTCTATAAGACAATGAAGCACCTAAACACTGAGCTTAAAACATGTAATAAAATTTTATTTACAGACATTTACAAAAGTATTTTCCCTCTTCCTGGAGTGTCCACAAATAAATACAAATGGGGGTTGTCTGTCCTCTTGTCCGTCTCTGTCCGTCTCTCAGGGGACTTGTTGTTCTGGGTTCATCACTCGACCCATAAACAAGATGGACCCTGAAATGAAGGTAATAACGTGCTGTGCTCATTACATGTTTATTACTAATCACCTGTAGACAGTGTCTACATGAGGCGGCGCCCCCTGCTGGCTGCAAAGGGACCCGGGTTGAATACCTGTGTTGATGTCTCGCAGCAGGAATAAAAACGGCCGGTCGGCCTTGAAAACCGGAGCTCTGGATCTCTTGAGGAGGACCATGGCTGAGGAACCAGAACCCACCATTAATCTCATCATTGTGCGTCAATCTGCATTCGTCAGTTATTCCCACAAAGGCCGTCTCACCGGTAGCAGCCGCCGCCTTCGTCCCGTCCTCCGTGACGTCGATTCCCACTTCGTGGAAAGCGTCGGACACGTAGAGACTCTCCGTCACTGCAGGAGGAACCAAGCCGTCAGCCAATCAGTGTGCAGAGAAGGAGCTTCCCGAGGAGGCGCAACCTACCAAGCAACGATGGAGAACTTCTACACAACCTCTGCTCTCCATCAGCCAAGAACAAGTTCAAATCAGGATCTCTGCTGAGATCAATGATTTAAAAGCTGCATTCTCTGTAGTGACCAGCAGGGGGCGACTCCTCTGCTCCCATAGACGTCTATGAGGAAATGACTCTACATTCGTCTGTAATGACCAGCAAGGGGCGACTCACCGGTAGCTGCCGTCGCCATAGACCCGTCCTGTGAGGAAATCGACTCCTACTTCTCTGTAAGTGACCAGACAGGGGGCGACTCCTCTGTCTCCGCAGTAGGAACCAGTCTATGAGGAAATCACTCTACTTATATGTAGCTGCCCGAGCAGGGGGCAACCTCCCATGCACCGATGGACATCTTTTAGGAAACAACCTCTACTTCTCCGTCAGCCACCAGCAGGGTTCAACTCCGCTTCTCCCATAGACGTCAATGATTGAAAAGGCTCCACTTCTCTGTAGTGACCAGCAGGGGGCGACTCCTCTGCTCCCATAGACGTCTATGAGGAAATGACTCTACTTCTCTGTAGTGACCAGCAGGGGGCGACTCCTCTGCTCCCATAGACGTCTATGAGGAAATGACTCTACTTCTCTGTAGTGCCCAGCAGGGGGCGACTCCTCTGCTCCCATAGACGTCTGTGAGGAAATGACTCTACTTCTCTGTAGTGACCAGCAGGGGGCGACTCCTCTGCTCCCATAGACGTCTATGAGGAAATGACTCTACTTCTCTGTAGTGACCAGCAGGGGGCGACTCCTCTGCTCCCATAGACGTCTGTGAGGAAATGACTCTACTTCTCTGTGGTGACCAGCAGGGGGCGACTCCTCTGCTCCCATAGACGTCTATGAGGAAATTACTCTACTTCTGTGTAGTGACCAGCAGGGGGCGACTCCTCTGCTCCCATAGACGTCTGTGAGGAAATGACTCTACTTCTCTGTAGTGACCAGCAGGGGGCGACTCCTCTGCTCCCATAGACGTCTATGAGGAAATGACTCTACTTCTCTGTAGTGACCAGCAGGGGGCGACTCCTCTGCTCCCATACACGTCTATGATGAAATGACTCTACTTCTCTGTAGTGACCAGCAAGGGGCGACTCCTCTGCTCCCATAGACGTCTGTGAGGAATGACTCTACTTCTCTGTAGTGACCAGCAGGGGGCGACTCCTCTGCTCCTAACATCGTTATAGAGGAATTGCCTGTAGCTCTGCTTCGTGACCAGCCGTGTTGCGACTCCTCTGCTCCCATAGACGTCTATGAGGAAATGACTCTACTTCTCTGTAGTGACCAGCAGGGGGCGACTCCTCTGCTCCCATAGACGTCTATGAGGAAATGACTCTACTTCTCTGTAGTGACCAGCAGGGGGCGACTCCTCTGCTCCCATAGACGTCTATGAGGAAATGACTCTACTTCTCTGTAGTGACCAGCAGGGGGCGACTCCTCTGCTCCCATAGACGTCTATGAGGAAATGACTCTACTTCTCTCTTGATTTATTCCCTCAGTAAACATTGTAAACATGAGTTTGTGGTCTCAGTCTCTATTTTCAAGTCTTCTTCAGTACAGCATGATGTTCATTTAGTGATGAACATCAGCTTAGAGGCAATTGGACCATAAAGCAGGGGATGCTTTAGGGCGGGGCTTCACGCTGACGGACAGCTCTATATATGGTCACTTCCTGTTCACTAGCTGATAAAAAACAAGATGGACTGGAGGCTCAGTATTCCGAGGCCTTCGATGCACTGACCTGATATTCCAGTGAAATCCGCCAGCGTCGGATCGAAGGCGTCGCTGACTCCCATGGCGGGGAGCACGGACCTCAGGTTGAACCTGTTCTGCATCCTGAACCTGCAAGGCACCAGACAGGGAGCAGTTCAGTACCTCTGACCACGATCGGAGAATAACAACCCGCTTGGGGTCGCAACCTTTACCTGGGTAGCAGCACGTCCATCTTGGTTCGGCGCAGGCCGGCGTCCCAGGAGGCCAGCTGGCGGGCACTGAGCTGGGCCTCCAGCGAGGACAGAGGCGTCTTCCTCTCGCTGGGAAGCACCACCTGCAGGCTCAGGGAGCGGCCCAGGTACGGCAGCTCCAGCACCGTGTAGCGCTGGTCCCAGGGTGTGCGGAACTGGCCTGGGGGAGGAGGGGACGGCGATTTAAAAGTAGTAGTGTTTGTTTTCTGGTTGTGAGAAAGTTCCTTAAATGCTGCAACAAGTCGCGTTACATCACAGGTCATTTTATCTCCTCAACGTGGAACTACAGCAGAAAAAACACCTCACGGCCTGAAGCTCAATGTGTCCACTGCTTGTAGGACCCATGTTATTGAGGGCGTGGCCTCTTTGATTGACAGGTGGGTGTGGTCGTTGGTGGTTTGGTGTCAGAAGTATTAAAAAGATTCATATGAGTAAACATTGAATCAAATAGTTATGAATCCTTTTTTTGTAACACATGTAATACTTTTATTTACAGGGTTTGTATAAATATAAACAAGTTTTATAGATGATTATAATACGTTTGTTTGCCCCCTAAAGTTTAAGAGAATAAAATTTAAGTTAAACAGACCGGAAATCGTTCCTGGACTTGAGAACGTTAACGCCTCCCGCGTGTCTTACCAAAGCCGACCTCGCTGGCCTGGTGCATCATGGGTACTTTGACGGCGGTCCCGTCGGAGAGGAGGAATGGCAGGTTCTGGGTGCTGCTGAAGAGGAACTGTTTGTGCCAGACGCCCCTGAACGCCACCGTGTTGACCAGCGCCATCTGCAGCCGCTGCCCCCACAGCGGGGCCTCGTGCTGGGCCTCGCCGGAGCCCGACAGCTCCCCCCCGCTGCTGCTCCCTGCCTGGAGGGACCACGCCTCCTCTGGAGGGGACAGGGGGGCACATTCACTGCTGATAACGTCATCGATGACGTCACTGATGTTTTGTATCGTCGAACGTTCTCAGGAAGGAAGTGTCGCCATATTCCCTAATGCTAAGGAAAGGAGCCTCAATGCTTCCTTACTTAGCTCCTCCAGCATAGGAACCATGGACCGTCCTTCACCAAAGGAAAGGACGGTCAAGGGTTAGTGGGTAGGAATAGATGTCAGGGGTCATTTCTTTGCACTAGTCTCTGGTCATGTGACCAAACAAAGATCACTGCTATGTTAGCCGCTAGCGGCTAATAATGTAACTGATGGTCAACCGTTAGCCACTAGCGGCTAACGGTTGACGTTCAGTGCTCAGTGAACATGGAGATGATGTGTTCATGGGTAATCTGTAAAAGGAGGTTTTGTTGTAGTCAAATCCAGATATTTCACATGAATATAAATTAGAGATGAATTATGATCTGTTGTACTTGCTAACAGGAGCTTAGCGCTCGCTATTAAACCGCATTCATAACAAAAATGCTTATTTTAATACCGCTGTGGCGTCCTGTGAGGTTGACCTGGCCGAGGTCGGCCCTCACCACGCCGCCGTCGGTCCACGCCGCCGCGCGCCGCGTGAAGTCGCTCAGCAGCTGCACGCCGCGCTGCAGCAGCAGCGTGCAGCTCTGCTGCAGCGCGGCCGAATGGCTGCCGTTACCAGCGTCTCCATGGGAACGCAACAGGAAGTCCTGGACCCGAACGTCTGCAGGACAGGACAACACGAGGGGACATTTTACATGTATATGTATGTACCAGCTAAGTGACACGTATGATCCCACCGTTTCAGTATGTCTGTATCACCCTTCACGTTGTAGCCCAGCGTGGCCTCCAGCTGAGCCAGCGTGTTGCCGCGGGCCCCCAGCTGCAGCAGCCCCAGGGACAGGGACACACTGGCCGGGGACACCATCAGGTTGGACACGTTCTCTGTCTGGACAAGCGCCTGGTAGAGGCGGACGGAGAAGCGGCCGTGCAGCTCCGCCATGCTGCCCTGGAAGGTTCCCTCACAGCAGCTCAGCTCCACCAGCCAGAGGCACAGGAAGAGGGGCAGGAGACGCATGTCCTCCCCCCCGGGGGACGGAGGAGACGAGGTCCAACTAGGTCCTCCTGGAGGACCGCCAGATGGATGAGTTATGGTCTACTCGCTAATGTACTATGAAGTAGTACAACATTAGCGAGGGTATTATAGAACGGAAACGTTTCCCTCAGATATTTAAACAGATTTAATCTAAATGTTTACTTTTACTTTTTACGAAGTTTTCCTCCTCAATTCTACCCAAAACTGTACTACTACTACTGCAATTTATATCTCACTTAAATACGAATATAATAAAAGGTTCTCAGATCTTTATCTTCAAAAGAAAAAATTCATTTAAATGTTTGGAATTCAAAATATTTATATAATATATAAAGACTTTACATTATATTACAGGTCAGCTGAAGCTTTTATCCAACGCGACTCATCCAAACATTCTGCAGAATAATACATAGTACTTGATGATGATGTCTCACCTGAGGACAGGTGAGGGGTCTCCAGCTGATCTCTCACTCGGACTCCAACCATCCAGCCTGTTGGTCCCTGGTCCCTGGTCTCTGGTCTCTGGTCTCAGGTCTCAGGTCTCAGGTCTCTGGTCTCTGGTCTCTGGTCTCTGGTCTCTGGTCTCAGGTCTCTGGTCTCAGGTCTCAGGTCTCTGGTCTTTGGTCTCAGGTCTCAGGTCTCAGGTCTCTGGTCCCTGGTCTCTGGTCTCTGGTCTGCGGTCCGGTCCTCTCTCTCACCCTGGCTGCAGGGTTCTGGTCTCAGGTCTGAGGTCCGGGCCCCCGGTCCCGTCTCTCTGAGCCGGTCTCCGGTCATGAGACCGTGTTTAAAGCGGACCGCTCCGCGCCGGGTTCCCGGTCTCTGTCGGCGATGTCCGTACCACTCCTCCCGGATTCCTGCCTCCCTCCGCGGGGCTATAAGAGCCAGGCGGCGGGAGGCAGGACCCGGACCCGCAAATCCCAGACCGGGACGCACGAGCAGCTGGAAGCTTTTCATGAGAAACATGAAGCGATCTCATGTATGTTCGTTATGTTCTATGAGTAAAAACAGCACGTTCATAGAACCCTCTGTGTACATATAATACATGTACACATACATGTATACACGTATACACATACATGTATACATGTGACCTGTGTGTACATGTAAAGTATCCCACATGGTTTGTTTACTAATATTGTGTTTTATTCTTATTTTCTTATTCTTTTACTGATTTGTTGCTTATTATTATTTAACAAACGTTTGGTGAGACATTGAAACAATAAATATAATGAGGCTTAGTTAATAAAGGTGCACGTGCACGGTTTTAGTGCACGAGGAAACAGTGCGTCTGTGTGACTCCACAACTTAATCCGTCACCAACGGAGACCGACCCCACCTGACCTTTGACCCCGGCAGGGGAGATGGTGATGAATGGAGGAGGAAGAGCGGACGAAACGTGGTTTATTATATTATTATTATTATTATTTATGACCGATAACAGTCACAGTGCAGATGATTCATGACTCGTCGTTCTCTTCAGCGCGAAGAGGGGGATGAAGATGAGGATGACGAGGCTGAGAAGGGGGATGAAGAGGATGATGAGGCGGGTGACAGAGGATGAGGAGGCGGGTGAAGGTGAGGATGAAGAGGATGAGGAGGGGGATGAACGTGAGGATGAGCAGGGCGATGAAGGTGAGGATGAAGAGGATCAGGAGGGGGGTGAAGTTCACGATCACGATCATGAGAGGGGAGGAAGATGAGGAGACGTAAAGTAACATTAGTGAAGTTTGTTATCTTAGAAGAAGAAGAAGAGTAAAAGAGACGATGAAGAAGAACAGCAGAACTGTGTCAGTGACGAAGGTCACTTGAGATGCTCGGCTGTGATTGGCCGACGTCGTGGCCTACTTCCCCTCGGGGGGATTATGGTCGGCGGCTGCAGAGCCAGAGCGATCTGCCAGGTACGCGCGGGAGGATTACGCGCTGAGCTGCCACTGAGAGAGGGGCGACGTGAGGGGGACGAGCACCGCCCCAGAGGATCATGGGAAAAAAAGGTTTCACGTCGCCTCTGAATGAAACAATAATGTCCTGAGACGTTTGGGAAGCTGAACAATTATTACTGTGTTCTTTGTATTTCTCTTTTCATTCTCACAATCATTTGTACATTTTTTTTTATTTGAATTGATTCATTGACAATGTTTTTATTATTATTTCTTAAAATGATTATTATTAAAATATGTATTTATATATAACCATATCTTTTTTATTAGTATATTAAAGCAATAAGATACGAGAGGCTGTACTTTATCGTCCAATGATGTGACATCGGGGCCGTTGTCATGTGACCTTTCAGCACAAAATAGTTGTAGACATCAAACGTTGTGTCTCATTTCAGTCGAGAGACAAATAGTCGTCGTACGTAAACACCATCGGCTCCGTCTCAATCATTCACATCGCTCATGACGCCCGGTGGCAAAAGCCCTCATTGCCTGAAACCGATCAAACCGATTAAACCGATCAACTGATCAAACCGATCAACTGATCAAACTGATCAAAACCGATCAACCGATCGGTCAACGTGAACATCTGCACGTTATCGCTGAATGAACCAATCAGAACGCTGCATTTCATCATGACGATGACACAGTAGACATGTGACGTTTAGTCATGAAAATAACACTGCTGTTGTATTATTTTGGTCATTTGTTATTTTGTATTCCCTTTTTAATTCTATGCATTTGATGTGTTTGATCGTTCATTTGACAGTTAAAGGCTCTGATTGATTACTTTCTCCTTAAAGAAATAAATAGAATCAGACAATTTCTCCTTTTCACCTGCAGGTAACGCAAATTATCTTTATTTATTTCCCAGTTGAATGTTCATTTTTCAGCTTTGTTCAACTGGTTGTATAACTTATTATTATTAAACTCTGGTTTGATTGGCTAGATGCTAACTGCTACAGCTAACCGCTAACCAAAGCTCCGCCTCCTGCTGCCGCTCTCCTCCCGCAGCGCTGAAGTCTTTTATTTTGGTTCTGCCTCTTTGGATTGGATCCAATAATTTCCTACACATGATGAAAATACGTCGTATATAAACTCTTAACAGACTTCAATCGTGTTTTAGTAGAGAAATATGAAAGAAATCTTCTTTAACGTGTTCTTTGTGTCAATAAAGTTCATTACATTCAGAAGGAGGTTTGAACCTTGACCTACGACACATGAAGCACAAACAGAGAGGGAGCATCAGATGTAGAACTCCTCCTCCTCCTCCTCCTCCTCCACCTCCTCCTCCTCCTCCACCCGCACGCTGATGACGCTGCAACAGTCCGACTGGTGGGAGGAGCCGTCGCTCAGAGAGGGGGTGGAGCCCCCCCCCAACGAGGTGCAGGCCGGGCGGTTTGGGATGCGCCCCCACAGAGGGAAGGCTCTGATGTCTCCTGGAGGGGGGGCGGGTTTGACACGGGCGGAGAACACGCTGAGGTACACGCCCACTGGGCTCACCACGTCCCCCGTGTCCACGTCCGTCTCTTGGGCCCAAATCAGGGCGTCCAGGTTGAGACGGAAGGGCGGGACGAGGGAGGGGCTCCGGTGGAGGGGGCCGGGGGAGGAGTGGGTGGAGACGGAGCCCGACCTGTGGCCCCTACCATCGGGCCTCCCAGTGGACCCCTGGTCCTGTTGCTCCTGCTGGTCCTTGGGGACCACAGGGTGCTGGAGTCGGTGCCAGGACGTGGACCGATGGTGGTGCCGGCAGTTCCTATCGGAGGCGGAGCTCCGGAGGAAGGTGGAGGGAGCAGAGGCCGAGCCAGAGACGGGACGAGACCCTCGGACCTGAGGGACAAAGTGTCAGTATACGAAGGCTATTTAAGAGCAAACAAGGTGAGAACTGAGTCTCTATTAAGTGCAGACTGCTTGTTACCAGGTCTGTTAGTACCAGGTCCCAACCTCTGGGTCTTTAAGTGAAGTCTAACCTTCATGTCTTAAACCTGCATTCTCTCTCCTGACCAGCAGGGGGCGACTCCTCTGCTCCCATAGACGTCTATGAGGAAATGACTCTACTTCTCTGTAGTGACCAGCAGGGGGCGACTCCTCTGCTCCCATAGACGTCTATGAGAAAATGACTCTACTTCTCTCTGGATTTATTCCCTCAGTAAACATTGTAAACCTGAGTTTATGGTCTCAGTCTCTAGTTTCAAGTCTTCCTTTAGTAATGATCCATTAGAGTCAAACAGACCTTAAAGCAGGGGATGCTTTGGGATGAGCTGGGTCAGTTCCGAACTTGTGGGGTAAAAGTCAGTAAGGATGAAACATACTATTTAATTATTTCCTAATATTTGAAGCTTAAAACATTGTTTTTGTTTTGGCTGCTTAAATGTGTGTGTTTTAGTGTGTGATAGTTACTTCAGGAGGAAACTGGATATCCTTCATATGCTAAGCATATACGCGTACAGTCCTCTGGTAAGCTAAGCTAAGTCACCGTTTGCCTCTGATCACAATCTTTGGCCGACTGTGGTGAGTGGGAGGTCGTCCTCCAATCAGAGGGTTGGCGGTTCGATCCCAAGTCCGGCTAACGCGCATGTCGATGTGTCCCTGAGCAAGACACTTGACCCACGTTGCTCCTGTAGCTGCGACTCCACGGTGTGGATGTTAGTTGACGGTGGGCCGGTGGCTCTGTGTGTGGTAGCTGCCGTCATCGGTGTATGAATGGGTGTGAATGGTGGAATTAACACAAACTGTTCTGAAAAGGGACTTTGAGCATTGGGAAAAGCACTACATGAATTAAATGCATTATTATTATTTGTGCCAAGCTAACAGGTGCTACTGACTTCATGCTTAATGATTCCCTCTGATTCCAGAATCAGTGCTAAGCTAAGCTAACTTGTTTCACACACCCTTTCAGACATAATGTGGGCCAAAGGGAAGTCACAATGTTTGAGAGGATCCTCTGACTGGCCAGGTGGCAGCTTAGCTTAGCATTTTAGCATCATGCATATGGTCGATTGTCACACCAGATTAGCTTCCAATCCCAGTAATGCAGTGCTGCTTAATCGGCTTCAACTTTCAGAACTGCTTATCTGCCCGGACACACACATCCCTTCTGAAAGTGATACGGCAAAGAGTGTGTGTGTGTGTGTGTGTGTGTGTGTGTGTGTGAGATAGTTAAATTAGTGAATGTGACCTTGCTCCAGGCTCCAAATCACAATATTATCATGATACTTAAGTCACGATATTATCATGATACTTAAGTCACGATATTATCACCATACTTAAGTCACGATATTATCACCATACTTAACTCACGATATTATCACCATACTTAAGTCACGATATTATCACCATACTTAAGTCACGATATTATCACCATACTTAACTCACGATATTATCACCATACTTAAGTCACGATATTATCACCATACTTAAGTCACGATATTATCACCATACTTAAGTCACGATATTATCACGATACTTAAGTCACGATATTATTACCATACTTAAGTCACGATATTATCATGATACTTAAGTCATGATATTATCACGATACTTAAGTCACGATATTATTACCATACTTAAGTCACGATATTATCATGATACTTAAGTCACGATATTATCACCATACTTAAGTCACGATATTATCACGATACTTAAGTCACGATATTATTACCATACTTAAGTCACGATATCATCATGATACTTAAGTCACGATATTATCACCATACTTAAGTCACGATATTATCATGATACTTAAGTCCCGATATTATCACGATACTTAAGTCACGATATTATCATGATACTTAAGTCACGATATTATCATGATACTTAAGTCCCGATATTATCACGATACTTAAGTCCCGATATTATCACGATACTTAAGTCCCGATATTATCACGATACTTAAGTCACGATATTATCATGATACTTAAGTCACGATATTATTACCATACTTAAGTCACGATATTATCACCATACTTAAGTCACGATATCATCATGATACTTAAGTCCCGATATTATCACCATACTTAAGTCACGATATTATCATGATACTTAAGTCACGATATTATCACCATACTTAAGTCACGATATTATCACCATACTTGTATACATGGCGATATAGTGTATAGACTCCCCCTCCCGCTCCTCACCTGCAGCAGGATCTTGTTTCCATCATAGTCCTCCGTCTGCCAGCGGGCGTCACTGATGGGGCAGCAGGGCCGAGGAAGAAGGGCCACCAGCGCCCCAACATCCGGCACCCTGACCTCCATCACCGCCGCCTCCAGGGCTACGGGCCTCTGGCCCCTCGGGAGCCTCTTGAAAGACAACTGGACCTCCATCTCATGGTTGGAGTACACAACGAAGAAGCAGAAGTCCTCCTTCCTCTGCGTGGGCCCGCGCTGCAGCAGCAGCTTGTAGAGGCGCACCATGTGGACGTAGTTCTCCTGGCGGCAGTACACGGTGAACCGCACCACCTCCTTCCCGTAGTTGATCTGCCGCACGGCCCACAGCGGCGTGCCACTGGACAGCGTGAAGAAGTCCTGACTGCAGGGCGACAGCGGCAGCATTGGGTGGGCGTTGCTGACCTTCTCCGTGTGGTGGTAGCTCCAGGGCGGCCTTCGCAGGACGCGGTGCAGCATCAGGGCCGGCTCCTCGCCACCGTTCCCGTCCCGCAGGAAGACGATGACCGCCAGGGCCGGCTGACCGGCGTTCTGACGGCTCTTGGGCCCCGAGAAGGAGGCCCGCTCCGAAACCCGGAGGAGCTGCAGCTCGGGGTGGACCCACGCCAGAACGCCATCGGCCGCTCGCTGCAGGAGCTTCCCCTGGCCGGGGTCAACGATGAGGTGAACGCACACGAGGAAAGGATCCTGGAGGTCGTCCATGAAGAACAGGTCATCGGCGTGTTTCCTGAAGCATAGACACGTTACATTCATTTATTCTGGCTTGGTATTGCATTGAGAGCTCCCAGCATGCACCGGGGCTCCATGTGCTCATGGGACTGTGAAGAAGCCAAAGACAACGAATGCAACGTTTAAACCCAATGAAATAACCTCCAGGATGAAGAGAAGGGATTCTAATTATCTGTAAACTCAAAGCGCTTTATTAACTTCATACAAACCCTCAAGTATTAAATGTGTGATAAAGAAGCAAAGGCTGAATGTCAAATAATAATAATATTACAATTTACTCACATTTATTTCTAAAACATGTAAAAACTGAACGGACCTTCTTGTAAATTCCCCAAACATGTCAATATTTTTTCTATCAGAGAACTATTTGTCATGCGATCGAAGGTTCCACGTTTCACACATTCAGTTCCCCTCGTGATGAAGCCGTTTGTTCTCTTCTTCTCACTTTCCAGCGCAGAACCCCGGAGCACAGCTGCTTTAATGACAGCAGGAGGTCATTCCTGAAGCCGCTTGGAAGGTTCTGGACCGCAGCCGGGGCGATGCATTCAGGGGTGATGCATTCAGGGGCCGGTGCATTCAGGGGTGATGCATTCAGGGGCCGGTGCATTCAGGGGTGATGCATTCAGGGGCCGGTGCATTCAGGGGCCAATGCATTCAGGGGTGATGCATTCAGGGGCCGATGCATTCAGGGAGGAAGCATTCAGGGGCGATGCATTCAGGGGGCCGATGCATTCAGGGGCCGATGCATTCAGGGGCAATGCGTTCAGGGGTGATGCATTCAGGGGGCTGAAGCATTCAGGGGTGATGCATTCAGGGAGGATGCTTTCAGGTGTAATGCTTTCAGGTGTAATGCTTTCAGGTGTAATGCTTTCAGGTGTAATGCTTTCAGGTGTAATGCTTTCAGGTGTAATGCTTTCAGGTGTAATGCTTTCAGGTGTAATGCTTTCAGGTGTAATGCTTTCAGGTGTAATGCTTTCAGGTGTAGCCCCCACAGTCTCTACTGCACCTCTCGGACCTCTCAGGTTCCTACAGTCTCTGCTTGTTGGGCCTCTCGAGGGACTCGTCCCGATTGGTCTCTTGGAGGCCGGTTTGGGGAACAATCTGCGTTCTTGTGCTAGGGAGGGCGGTCCGGTCTCGTGAGGCCTGCTGGCCTTTTGAGGAACGAGAGGTGACATTCTGTAAATGTGGGATCAGGCTACCAGGAAACTAGTAGCGTCACTGTGGCTTTAAAGGCTGTTAAAGAATGAAAGCTCACAGAGCCGCTTCCATGAGGGGAAATAATATAATACAATCAAAACAAAGTGTGTTGGAGAATAAAGATCCAGATGTAACGTGTAACATGGTGGACCTCAAAGTAACCAGAACAACAAGATGATTACAAACTAAACCTGAAGAGACTCAATGACCACGAGCCCCCCAGGTTCTAATGAGAGGAATCCATTAGAGCTTAAGTCCTGTTTGTGAGTAAAGCGCTGGAGGAGCACGTCTCTAAGCTCCTAATCCACCGAGCTGGAAGTGATGCTCTGACTACGTGCACGCCACTCGTGCATGAGCACAACACACACACACACACACACACACACACACACACACACACACACCAGATCAGACCAGGTGAGGCTCTCCTTCCTTCGGGAGGGAAGATGAGATGAGATAAAACCTCTCGCTGCACACACCAGAGTGTGTTTGACATTGTTGTTCCCACGAGAGTCAACTGACACACACACACACACACACACACACACACACTGTGACTACACAAATAAAGCGTGTGGAGCTGCAGGAAACAAGTCTGCTTCCTGCAGCAGGAGCTTATCAGTCTAACAGCCTCCTTCATCTCCGCACACACACACCGAAGTCAAAGAGGCAGAGACACCTGACGAGTTTCCAACGGACGGTTTGTGAGAAGAGGACGTCGTCATGGCGACGTCACTCCTTGGTTTTCTTTGAAGTCTTATTAGTTATTATTGTGTTTACTTGGAGTCAAATTCCTTCTGACATGCCAGCATGTGTTTCTATAACCTTTCAAATATGGCAGTTAGAGACGGCTGGTATTAACAACAGCAACAACAGAATATATTGTGTCCGTCGTATTAATCTAAGATCACAAATAAAGACATTTAAATATTAGTGAATCAAATACTATTATTTAGTTATGATATAAATCACATTCCCAAATGAACCCGTTTTAAAGGATGGCTGGATCTGTTACTATAATAACATACGAGGATCCTTTCTGGAGGTTTATGAACATAAAAGGAAACACAAGGGACATAAAATAGTCAAACTTTACTGCGTTACATTTACATGTATTGTTACGCTGAGGCTTTTGCCCTTAAAAAGGATATTAACAATAAGTGCATTTAACCCAGAGAAGAATCAACAAAGTATGAATTCTACAAAAGAATCATCCTGAACTCACTAACTATCGAGGGTCAGAGTGACGGGGTTAAAGGTCACACACACACACACACACACAGAGGTCCTCTACCATAAATAATAACAATAATAATAACAACAGACTCATAGCAGTAAGAACATGGACCTCCAATATCATCAGATGTGCCACTTTTCCTTAAATATATAACACATCACGGTCGGACAATCTAACCCCATTTAAAATTCTCTGATCTAATTGGTCGAAGGGAGGCTCTCGTGGCTCATTCGTCACCATCAACGTTCATCATGACGTCGTGTTTTGACACCCTGAGAAATGAGAACTTGTGACTTGTGCTCCAATAACCATGAGATGAATTTGGGAAAGCGCCCTTTTATCGCATTAAGTGCCACTTTGAAGACTTGATAAAGTATGAATATGATATTCATGGTTCACGCACTCACCCTGCAGTCTCTGCTCATGAATCCACGCAGTCATCTTCTGCATCCAGGAGGAGCCGCATTGTTGACAGGAGGCTCCTCAGCACGCTCTCCACCTCCTGACGAGCGCCGAGCGAGCAGCAGGCGGCCGAGACGGCTTCAGGGCCCGTGGGACGTCTGAGCACTGCATCAGAAAGTAAGTGGTTGATTGTAGGTTTATGAATAGAAAAGAGTTTCATGGGATGTTAGTAAATTCATTATGAGATGAGTACAAAGTCAATATCTTGTTTGCACGAGTTATTATCTTGTTTGCATAGAGCCCTTAACGTCACGCTATTTTATTTTCATGATGTTGCTTTAAAAATGATAAATAATCAATTAGGAGTAACTATTATTTAGTTACACCGATTTCTGACTTTCTGAAATTTTTAGATATAATTATAATCCAATGAAAAAAGAAAATGCATGAATGTATTCGTCTTTGTTATTTTATCCCACTTCTGTGACGTCACTGTGATGAAAAATACACAATAAACACGCTACCTCAGTAAGTATCAGCTGAAAACACAACAAATAGCTTGAATTTTGAATGAGTCATTTTTTCGAGCAGCACGTAAATGCAGCATTAGCAACACGCTGCTTTAGCGCCACCAACAGGGTGAATCGCGTAATGCAGCACGTTTATTCATTTTCCACAATAAAACCATCAAAACTATCCATTTCTGACATTTGTCTCATAACTTAATACATGTACTTCTGTAACACGTGTTTTATTTGCCGCTGTTTCTTCTTATTGATAAGGTTTAGAAATCCAATGTTTCGTATATCCCCCGAAATCACTTTGATAATGTTCATATTCAATTATCAGTATATTTGAGAGAAACCGAACCACACACTCACACAAATGTAACGTTAGATCTGTACATCATCAATATTTATGTATTATTGATTGTATATTCGCTGCGTTCACACCAGAAACGAAGCGAAGTTGAAATATTTCGACTTCGGACGAAAAAGCGATTTGTTCGCTTGGCTCGTTTCGCTCGCTTCGCGACCAGACGCGTCTGCAGACTTTACGTGATGGAATCTCCTCGCGCCGATGATTCGCTTCGCTTTTGCCGTGAACGCAGCGTCATTGTCGAATGTGACGTATGATGACATCATCTCCACGCGCCACTCAAAGCAGCGCGGCGTCGCTTCTGTTGCACGTTGATGTTTTTTTGTGTACTAGCTTAACCCACTAGTTTGGCTCACTAGCTTAACCCACTAGTTTAGCTCACTAGCTTAACCCACTAGTTTGGCTCACTAGCTAGTCCGCTGGCCCGACCTGACCGACAGCAGCGATGTCCGTCACCGAGATGTTCAGCTACATTCAGGGCTCCCTGAGCGCCGACCAGGACGTCCGAGAGGTGGGCGGGAGCGAGGCTGCTAACGGAGTTAGCTCCCGGGGCCCGTTAGCCAGCCGCTAGCCGTGGAGCCGCGCTTCGGTGACCGGAGTCGGTTCGGCTCGATGTTTGTGCGCCGCTGGTTTACTTTCCCTTCAAATATAATTCACACGACGACTTGTTGGGAGACGCAGAGGTGTTGGACGCCAGACTTCATTAAGAAATAAGTGGACTTTGGGGAGTTTTCCTGTGGCGATGTGAGGGTTTCGGGACCGAGGACGTCTCATGTGGACAGACTGTAAAGACACATGAGGCTAATTTGTAGTTTTGCTCTACAAAATGAAACAAATTGAATTGAAAGCCGACCTCGTGCAGCTCTCTTTGATTGATGGAGCACTTTTACACAAAATGTTTATCTTTAAATAAACGTGTGATTCAAAATCCACAACATTAAGCTAGTTGGCCATACACATGAACCAGTGCGCTGCATCAACTTCTGTCATTGCGCAGCAGGTTTCGCACGTAGAGGAATTCGTTTTGCTGCATAATAATGAATAATTCAAGGCTCAACATGCAGAACGGAAGTTGCCTGTGATAATGCACCAGCTGATGTGTTGCATCTATAAACCCCACGTTGTTGCAGGAGATCCGTAAGGTGGTCCAGACGTTGGAGCAGGCTGCCAGGGAAATCCTAACAGTCCTGCAAAGTGTCCACCAGCCGTCCGGATTCAAAGAAAGTGAGCGTTTAGCCCCTTTGGTCTGGACTCTGATGAATTCTGTTGTTTTTATCATTGATCTTCTCTCATCAGTTCCCAGTAAATGTGCCAAAGCGCGGGAGTTGTTCTGCACGGTCAGGACTCAGCTGGGCGAGCTGAAGACAAAGTTCCCTGTGGAGCAGTACTACAGGTAGGTAGTACTTCACTCAGTATGAGCACAGGAGGCTCGTTGGTTGGCCTACAGCGTCTTAATGAAGTCACTTTTAGGAACATGTTGAATTAAGACTCTCTTTGCTCTGTTAACTCTTGAGGTTCCACGAGCACTGGCGCTTCGTCCTGCAGCGTCTGGCGTTCCTCGCCGCCTTCGTCGTGTACCTGGAGACGGAGACGCTGGTGGTCCGGGAGGAAGTGGCCAAGATACTCGGCAGTAGGTTCCCCTTTGTGAGAGCGAGTTAAGATGGGAACTAAATGAAGAGGGACGTTGTTGTTTGGTTATAGCAGCTGACCTACAAGGATCCAGAAAAGCTTTGATTTATTCTCCATTATCCCACTGAAGCCAGTCAAGCATCAAATATTCTAAATGTTCTACTTCTATTTTGTTTTAATAACTCAATTGTGTGTTTTTTTTATCTTCTTCATATAAACACACAATTTGAATGAGGAAATATGATTAGATCTGTATTGTCCTTATTCTTTTGAATGCTGTATGATGATGGACGGGATCAATAACTCCTTGTTGTCATCAGTCCAGGTGGTGAGGGAGAAAGGCTTCCACCTGGACGTGGAGGACTACCTGGCAGGTGTGCTCATCATGGCCAGTGAGCTGGTGAGTTGTTGCTTTTCATCATGTTATTAGTGTGGATTCCTGGAGGTGGTGTTGCTGGTAGTACTGCTGGTAGTACTGCTGGTAGTACTGCTGGTAGTACTGCTGGTATTGTATCACCATGATCACGTCAATGAGGGTTGGGTTGGTTCTGGGTAACACGTATTGTCGTATCTTGTTCGGTATCCTAGCGTCTCATAACTTATGCTATAGTGTGTTAAACTAGTCCTCGGCTTATTGTAGTGTCTTTCCTCCAGTCCCGGTTGGCGGTGAACAGCGTGACGGCGGGCGACTACACGCGACCGCTCCGCATCTCCAACTTCATCAACGAGCTGGACTCGGGCTTCCGGCTGCTGAACCTGAAGAACGACCCGCTGAGGAAGCGGTACGACGGCCTCAAGTACGACGTGAAGAAGATCGAGGAGGTGGTGTACGACCTGTCCATCCGCGGCCTGGCCAAGGACGCGGGGGACAAGTAGCGGCATCGGGCCCCCGGGGCCGGCCGGGTGCGTGAATGTAGGAGGGGTGTGGGCGGGACCTGAGGTCCAGTTTGTTCTCATTGTTTTTTTTATGCGGAGCTGATTCTGGATCAGTTGGTTAGATCTCGTTACTTTGATGTTAAATCTGAGAACTTTTTCTCTGTCTGTTTAATCACCAAAGAAAAGGAACTGTTTTGGCACCGGGGGAGTTTTTTTTCTGTGGATTCAGATTCATTACTTCTAGTTGTTAACAAACCCAGGAGCCTTGTGAGGGAACATCATACCGTTACATGTGGATTCCAATAAACACGTTTTACACCATTCCAACAGGTTTCTGCCTTTGATGAAGACATATTTATTGATCATATGTTTCATATAAGTGGCTCCAGGAGCATCGGAGCCAAATAATCATCACTGAACTCGGGAATCGTTGTTTTTTCCTTTTTCCTTCCCGAGGTGTTTGGTTTCGTTACCGTAGCAACGCTTTTATTCTCCTCCTGTATTCCCACTTTTAATCTGAAAAATGAAATACATTTCCTGTCAGTTTATAAACAGAGCCAATTGCACACGCTGAGTAGTTTAAAATCTTTTTAATGTAATCACACTATATTACATGGTGGAAGGGGGGGCGGCAATACATCAAGTCTTAAAAAATGCAAATGAGGGAAAAAACAAGCGTCTGCTGCTCAGCAGGCTTGGTATTTTCTTGTCATGGAGACACAGTGATCCTTCTTCTCTTAACAGAAAACAGTTTTGGTTTCATTTAGATCGTCCCAGTGAGAAGAGTTCAGTTTTACCGGCAGCTCGACGGGACAATAATAAAGTGCATTAAATACAAAATAAAAAACGTCATAAATAATAAAAACACACAAAGTAATATAATTATATTGCCTGTGAGTCCATCTGAAGCAAGTGAGTCGGTCGTCATGACAATCGTTGCTACGGTTACATCGCAACAGTAATCGAGTACCAAGGCACAACAGTCACATGACTCGCTGAGTGACGTCTCTGCTAGAGGTCACGATACGGAGTTCTTCAACCTTTAAAGGTTAAAACACCACCAGATGGACAGATATCATGTTTTATTGTTTTATGGGTACGGGGGGGGTCATGTGACAACGTTTGTTACCTGATTTATTTCTTTATTATAGACGTAGGTTTGTTGATTGAAACAAGCATTTAGCTAATTGATTGAACACACTTGGGTTTCTCATTTTAAAACGGATGCAGGAAGTCGACCGCGGGGAGGGAAGGTTGTCGTACCGCCGGCGACCGGAGCGACCAAACCGCCCCCCTGCCTCCCTATAGAACAAATGACAACACTCTCCCGTCAGGCTTTGATTTCCTTGGACGCTCCTCCGGCAGAAGACGTCCTCTACAATCAAGGCCGACTTGCTCAGCCCAAGTGCTTTTATTGTTTGCTTGTCCAGGAATGCGACGTTTCCTTTTAACAACTTCGGTCTTCGTAAATAACGCTCGTGGCTTTGTACAAAAAAATGACGAGGAAAAAGATTGTTGTTGCTAAAATTATTAAATCATAGAAACGGAATTGGAGTAGATAAAATGGTTTTTCGTTGTCATTTGAGCGCCACAAAAGATGACGGCGATTGTCGTTAGTCGTCATGGTGAAGACGTGTGTCAGCGTAGACGTTAACTTGTTGGTAGTGAAACGTTAGACCATAATGGCGCCGGGCTACGAGCGTAGCATTAAAGCACGTTGGAGTCAGCAGGCTAGTTTACTAACTAGCACGCCAAACCCCGGCTTGTCCTTTGGTTCATTCATAGCTATCATGCTACAGCAATAGCAATGGCTAATGTGCAGATCTTTCCTACGCTGTGACGACAGATGAAGCATTGAGATGTTAAAATGGTAACTTACTAATTCAGCGGCTGGCGAGTTAGCTAACTAGCTTGCGGACTGTACAATGCTTTGATGCTACATTGACCTAGCCAACTAACTAGCACAAAGCTAGCCAGTTAGCTAGCTTGTAGATTCCGCTGTGCTTTAATGCTACTTTGATGCGACAGAAATATCTTTTATTCCTTGTTAACTTTTCCTTTCTACTCCTCTGTGAATTGGCCGCGGCTCTGACTGCTGCGACGGCGCTCAGAAGCGCGTCTCCGTGTCCGTTTGGTCCCGTTGTTTTCTTACAGGGCAACAAGATGGCGCCTCAGGAGCGGGTCTGGTTTGTGTTGATCATGATGTTGGGCAAAGCGTTGCGTCTTTTCCTCCAGGTTCCCAGGTTCCGCGTGTACTTCTTGACCTGGTGGAACCACTGCTGCGTGCGGCATTTGTCCGAGGAGCGGAAAACAAAAGACTCCCGCCGGATGTCGAGCACTTCAAACGTGTCCTCGCAGTCCGGGTCCGTGGACACCACGCAGTTCCCCAGGCGAATGGGCTCCCGGAGCACGGCGAACTTCCCGCTGCTCTTGTCCTTGATCAGGACCAGCACTCCGTCCCAAACGCTGCCGCCAGCTCCGCCCCCCCGCGCCACCGCCGCATCGCCGCCCGGCTCTGGGGCGTCGCCGGGCGGCCGTATTCTCACCATCAGCAGACTCTGGACGTTTTGGAATTTTAGGGCCTTGCTGCCCTTCTTCACCCACTGACCGTCCGCCGGCTGGGACAACTGGAGCGGCCCCTCCATGACGAAGCGCGTGTTCTCCCTCGCCCAGCCCACCGTCTTCATCGACACCTCTCGCATCTCGATGTTGATGACCTCTCTGTTCTTGCGGCTGTCGCGCCGGAACGATCGGAGGGACCAAGTGACTCCGTTGCCCTCCTGCTTGGTCTTCATGTTGATGTGCTCCAGGTGGGATTCCACCCGACTTTTGGCCTCGCGGAGACGCCCGTGGTCCGGGTGGCACTCGGCGGTGACCTTGATGATGCGGCTCAGCAGGAGCGGGTACTTGGTGACTCGCTGGAGGGGCGCCATGAGGAAGGAGCGTAAGTTCATGCGCCGCAGCGCTGTGTTGTCGTTCTGGGAAACATCCAGGAAGATTCTGAGAAGACAGAACGGGAGAAAGGATCAGGAAGCAGAACAAGTCACTGCTTTGCGTTTGCAACCAGTGAAGCGGAAGTATCAACATCTGGAAGGAGGACGACAAAGAGATTCGCAATACGTCCACGGTAGATGTCAATCAGCTTTTAGCCCCGCCCTAAAAGCATCCCCCGCTTTATGGTCTGTTTGACATGGACCATCATTCACTAAATGAACATCATGTTGTATTGAAGACCTGGAACTAGAGACTGAGACATAAACTCATGTTTACAATGTTTACTGAGGGAATAAATCCAGAGAGAAGTAGAGTCATTTCCTCATAGACGTCTATGGGAGCAGAGGAGTCGCCCCCTGCTGGTCACTACAGAGAAGTAGAGTCATTTCCTCATAGACGTCTATGGGAGCAGAGGAGTCGCCCCCTGCTGGTCACTACAGAGAAGTAGTCATTTCCTCATAGACGTCTATGGGAGCAGAGGAGTCGCCCCCTGCTGGTCACTACAGAGAAGTAGAGTCATTTCCTCATAGACGTCTATGGGAGCAGAGGAGTCGCCCCCTGCTGGTCACTACACAGAAGTAGAGTCATTTCCTCATAGACGTCTATGGGAGCAGAGGAGTCGCCCCCTGCTGGTCACTACAGAGAAGTAGAGTCATTTCCTCATAGACGTCTATGGGAGCAGAGGAGTCGCCCCCTGCTGGTCACTACAGAGAAGTAGAGTCATTTCCTCATAGACGTCTATGGGAGCAGAGGAGTCGCCCCCTGCTGGTCACTACAGAGAAGTAGAGTCATTTCCTCATAGACGTCTATGGGAGCAGAGGAGTCGCCCCCTGCTGGTCACTACAGAGAAGTAGAGTCATTTCCTCATAGACGTCTATGGGAGCAGAGGAGTCGCCCCCTGCTGGTCACTACAGAGAAGTAGAGTCATTTCCTCATAGACGTCTATGGGAGCAGAGGAGTCGCCCCCTGCTGGTCACTGCACAGAATGCAGCTTTAACGTGACTTTTTGACTTCACTTTATATGCTGCCTCTGAAGCTCAGGCTGGGTTCATGGGCAACTTGTCTAAAAATATGAATCGTACCAGCTCTGAATAAATGATATTGGCTGTCTCTTTTTGTAAAAAAAACAGCCAACCTTACTTTACTAGGACCTTTACTCCACACAAGAGGAGAAGGGGTCTACCTGAGCAGCTCCTTCTCCTTCTCCAGCGTGTTGAGCATGTTGACAGAGGTGGACTGTTGCAGGCAGTAGGTCTGGAAGGCCGGCAGCATGTTGACGAACTCCAGAAAGATCTCTCCTATGTAGACCGTGAGTAGGTTGTGGTCTCCCTGAGGTCAAACCACATGAGAAAAGTGTCAATGGAAACGCAAAACAACTCATCTTTGTCCATTTTTCTGTGTGGTCAACATATTGCAGGATGTATTGGAGTGCTGCTAGACATTTCTTCTACAGATTATTGACCGTCTCACTATCATCGATTCTACATAAATTAAAGTAAATGATGTACCTTGCAAACAGCATTCGACCAGAAATTGTTACCACATAGTCAATTGTCTAGTATTCGGTTCTGTTTACGTTCCTGTCCACCTATTGATCCACCTTCCTCTCTACATCACATCACATGTCATTTAGCTGTCGCTTTAACCAAAGCGACTTACAGACACCGAAGAACAAGAAACAAGAAAGTACAATTTCATCAAATAAGCCAGTTTACAACTTGCTGTAGATAAGAACCATTATAAGTCCAATGTAAGTTCTCCAGTAAGTTCTAAGTGGAGGTAGAGTCTGAAGAGGTGTGTCTGTAGTCTGAAGATGTGAAGGCTCTCTGTGGTCCTGATGTCTTCAGAGACCTCCTTCCACCATTTAGGAGCAGGACAGCAAAGAGTGGAGATCTAGTCGAGTGTTTGCTCTCAGTGAGGAGGAACAAGCAGTTTATCACATGCAGAGCGGAGAGGTCAGAGGTCGGGATGTCGGGTTGGACCAGGTCCTGGATGGAAGCTGGACCCCATCCAGAGGAGTGGAGGAGTGAGGGAGAACTTAGGAAGGTTAAAGACCAGTGGAGCTGCTGCATTCTGGATGAGCTGCAGAGGTGGAATGGTGGTAGACCTGCAGGAGAGAGTCACAGGACCTGCAGACTTACCTCACTGTCTTCCTACCTTGCTACCTACAGACCTTTCCACCTACTGCCCCGTCTACCTCTCTGTCACCCTCTTTAGATTTAGCATATTTTAGCCAGTGCTACTTTGATTGAATACGAGTTGAGGACTCTGAGTTTTCATGTTAGATCATTTGTAAAAAACAGTGTGCTCCTGCTGGTTTTTAAGAGGAACCCTGTTTAAATGCTCACATGGTCAAAAGCCTGGTCGATGCTGTCCTGCAGATGTTCAGTGAAGCGGTCGTTGACTTGAATGAGCTCCTGAACGTTCCCGAAGACCACGACGAGCTGCTCCGCGCTCAGCAGGCCGGCGCTCTGCATGGGGCAGTAGAACTCCTCCCGGATGATCCGCAGGTCCTCGCCGTAGCTCAACTCTGTGTTCATGAACTCCAGGATGGCCTCTTTGCGCTCGGTGCGCAGCTTGGAGCAGCGCTCGCACATGCGCTCCCCTCGCTCCTTGGAGGCCCCGTCCCTGAGTCCGCAGTCGGGACAGGGTCTCTGGGCCTCCCAGGCTCGCAGGCAGGCCGACGGTCTCTTCCAGGTCCGGGACACGCCGCGGCCGATGCCGCTGTCCACGCGCTCCACCTCGGCTGCCCGGTTCCGGCGGCACCGGCGGGGCTCGTGGTCTTCCTCCTCCCGCTCGTCGCTGAGGCCCACCACGCCGCTGTCCACGCTCAGACTGCTGATGGTGCTCCAGCGGTGCTGCCCGGGCCGCGTGGCGCCCAAACCCGCATGGCGCTCCTCGCCGGGTGGTTCAGAGCGACCGCGAAGGGCCGCCGGAGCTGGAGAGAGGGGGAGGGTTTGGTAAATTTGTGCTGCTGAGACAATCGGCAATACTGCCGAGGGACTTGACCTTTGCCCTCATGCATGTCGACGCCCCTTCACGCCGCATTTCATGACTTCTAGTTCTTATAATAAACTCCTCAGAGACTCAAAAGTCAAATCAAAATGTGAAACACACGCAGGCGACAACAAAAGGTCCGGAAACTCACCGCTGTCCCGGTCCCGGTCTCGCCGGTGGCCGTGCAGTCGTGCGGCGGCGGCGATCTTCATTTCTAGTTGTTTGCGCTTGGAGGCGTCGGCCGGCATCGGGTCGCTGTGGTGAGGCCGCAGGCGGCACTCGCGCTGCGCCCTCACCGTCTCCGCCAGCTCGTAGGCGGCGTCCGAGCTGGAGCGCCGGCAGCCCCGACCGGCCTGCTGCAGGGGGGGGGGCAACGGGAGCAGGGGACACGTGTCAGTCGGACGGTTGCGTTGCTATAGCAACAGATGAGAACGGGGCAAACGTCCTCCCAGCGAGAGGCGAGCGACGAGGACGACGTCTGCGCGAGGAGCTCTCATGTCGTTATGTAACTTCGCTCCGATTTCCGCGGACCAGATTCTGTACGACGAGGCCGAGAGCCTGAACGCAACACGACCTCACGCACAGAAACCCGCTCGGGTCTCAATTCCCCCGACAACTCTTCCCAGGGGGCTTCTTAGGGTCCCCCTCAGGGGTCCATCGAGCCCCTGAGAAGTCGTGGAAATCAGAGGTCATCGCTACACGCGCAACGTCTCGCCCCCCCGCCCCCCCACAGAGGACGACTGGCTCTGCATGACCTCCACAGACCGCCAGCGCTCCGCTACTCACAGCCGGCAGCCATCACTCGCAGAGGAACCACAGTAATTCATGTTCCTCTCAAAATATTATCGTCGCTGCGGGAACGAGAGACGAGCAGCGGATTCTGTTCTCCTACGGGCGAGCGAGACGCGACTCCATGGCAGAGAGCGAGTGAGTGTGCGTCGCCGTCTCCGGTCCTCCAACGCGGACGGATCTTCTGCGTCGAGGAAAAAG